GGGTGTTTCCCCTTTTATTTTAGGGCATGTCCCCATCGGTCCACACCATCTAAAGCATATGGTGTCATTCCACAGAACCCTTCCCCATGAGATGGGGCTTTTCTAGTGACTGGGCAGCCCAGTTGTTAGTGTTAACATGCTAGTAGATGTGCCCTTACTTCTGCATGGCAGGTGGGAACATAGGGAGGTTTACAAGCTCCTTTACAGTAGTATGGGGGTCTTTTTGATTGCCATAGTCTATTTATTTAATCAAGAGCTGGCCAGCTGCCACATAATTAAATCTCGCACTGTTGGGGATTATTTAACCAGCCAAATAGTTCTGATGTTTTTTTAAAACTCCCCGCACGGATTTGAAGCTTCTGGTCTAGATTTTGCAGTCTGAATGGACTACAGGCCGTCAGTCTTACCATCCTGATGCATCTTGCCTGTCACAACTGCTCATGCACAGGTGTGTGTTCCTGTGCTTTTTCAACAAGCCGCTAATATGAGAGTAATTGATATTTGTAACGGCAGCCGTTATCAATGAAAAGATAAAAAAAAAAAAAAACAGGTTGTAAATGAGCCGATTTATTATCCACCATAGGCAATTTTCACAGGCATGCAACTGCAAAAAATTGATATAAGTATCAGCTGATATACAAGGTTACGCAAGGATACTTGTAAAATAAATAAATAAATATCAGCATCTTAATTTAGGTTTATCTAATGTTTTCCTAAAATACACAGTTTAGCACAGGTTACAACAGGGTTTAACATTTTTGCTACTGTTTTTTACATGCTGCCAAAGCTAGAATAACTGCATCCCCCTTTATATTGCAAATAGGTTTATAAAAAAACTAAGCCTGGTTCATGTCAGGTAGTTTCCGGCACAGCTAGGGTTACCAGCAGCCGTAACAGATTGCCAGTTCTTGTCTTCTGCCACCAGATGTGTCTCATGTTGAAAAGTGTAAGAGACTCTAGTTACATGGAATGTAATACAAGAAGAATAGCTGATAAGAAGACATGAGATGGAATTGGGCAATATATATTATCATTTATATAGAGCCAACATATTCTGCAGCGCTGTACAATATTATAAAGAGGGAGATGTAATACATGCCAGGGGGCATGATATGGAAAGGGTGACTGGGATTAATGAGGGTGAGAGTGGTAGTAAGGGATATTTGAAAAGAGGGATGGCATATGACACATGAACACAACCTCTCACACCCCACATACATACACTGCACCCCTCTCACACACATCCTGCACCCCTCTCACACATGCTGCATCCCCTTTAGACGCAACATCCCAATTTTTAGATGGGATGCCAGCACATCCTTGGGCCAATATCTACAAAGTGACAATTCCTCTTTACTTAATAGATTTCATCTTGTATAGCTCCTACACCTATACAAGGTAAGACATAGCAAGGTAGTATGTAATGAATGTATAACTTTGCACGTGGCCCTTTTATAAATATTGTTTTTAATGTGGCCCTCGGATTACCTAAGGTTGGACAGCCCTGGTTAATGGACTCAGTTTCTGGATAAAATGGAATTATATCTAATAAAAATTAGGAAAATTAGATTTCAATAGTGCTAGAATTTTTTGTCCAAAATATTTATGAATAAAACATAAATCTTTGCGATTCTGCTTTTCCATAGTGCATGTTTGCGGTCTGTAGCATTACATTTGTAAATAAAAACTCATAATATATATATCCTTGCATTATTATTGTTATTATTGCCATTTATATAGCGTCAACTTATTCCGCAGCACTTATATTATTATTACAAAGGGGAACATTAACAATAAATGAGACAATTACAAATTTTGACAAAAGGACCCTGCTCAAATGAGCTTTCAATCATTGTTTTACTTGTTAAAAATCAATTTATAGAGAAAGGATACGACCCTATTCCAATTCAACAAATATGCGAGGAGATAGAAATGAACCAGGTGATTAGTAATTGGAACACAAAACTAGATAGAAATTAAATATGGAGGAGGATAAGGAGATCCCCTTAATCTTTAATTATTGTTTCAATACCATTTACGTAAAATCATACAAAGAAACTGGCAAATTTTAGATGAAGATCAGGACATCCCGAGTTTCCTTGGCAATAAACTTAAAATAATTTTTAGGGGGGACAAATAATTTTAGGCAGATTCTTACTAATAGTTTTTTTAGAAAAAGAAGAAGCACTTAAAGATAAGAGTATTTAACCCCTTACGGACACATGACATGTGTGACATGTCATGATTCCCTTTTATTCCAGAAGTTTGGTCCTTAAGGGGTTAAAGGGACACTATAGTCACCTGAACAACTTTAGCTTAATGAAGCAGTTTTGGTGTATAGAACATGCCCCTGCAGCCTCACTGCTCAATCCTCTGCCATTTAGGAGTTAAATCCCTTTGTTTATGAACCCTAGTCACACCTCCCTGCATGTGACTTGCACAGCCTTCCATAAACACTTCCTGTAAAGAGAGCCCTATTTAGGCTTTCTTTATTGCAAGTTCTGTTTAATTAAGATTTTCTTATCCCCTGCTATGTTAATAGCTTGCTAGACCCTGCAAGAGCCTCCTGTATGTGATTAAAGTTCAATTTAGAGATTGAGATACAATTATTTAAGGTAAATTACATCTGTTTGAAAGTGAAACCAGTTGTTTTTTTCATGCAGGCTCTGTCAATCATAGCCAAGGGAGGTGTGGCTAGGGCTGCATAAACAGAAACAAAGTGATTTAACTCCTAAATGACAGTGAATTGAGCAGTGAAATTGCAGGGGAATGATCTATACACGAAAACTGCTTTATTTAGCTAAGGTAATTTAGGTGACTATAGTGTTCCTTTAATTTCTTAAGGGAGAAAACTGGTTCCATTATTGTAAAAATTGTAGAGGTTGTGCGTTAAGAAAGAATAAATGTAAAAAGGTTAAAAAATTCACCTCATTTATTAACAAAATACAACATGATATTAAATCTTGTATTACGTGCAGTTCTAAAAATGTAATATATATGCTAACATGACCCTGTGGATTCCAATATATAGGGAAAACAACAAGAGCCCTCAAGATATGCATAAGAGAACATATAAATATTTATAATATTAATAGAAAATCTTATCAACACAGTGTATTTAAAAACTTTTTAGAGGTCCATAAAGGTGATGCCCGTGGACTAGATTTCATGGGCATTGAAAGTATTAAAACCCATTGGAGAGGAGGAGATATTAATAGTCTCCTTAGCAAGTCAGAGATGAGGTGGATTTTTAATATTGATACTTTATTACCCCACGGGTAAAATGACGATTTTCAAATAAACTCCTTTATATGAAATATGTTTTACTAATTATATTTATTTTTATACAGGTTTTATCAATTTAACTTGTTTTATATTATTAATTAGGATGCCTTTTACTGTCCTTTTAACCTCTGTGCTATCTGTTGAATATGTATTAAAGCTGACAATGTCTTCTTCTTATATATGTATTGTTTATACCATTTATTTTTACAGTGTATTCAATTGCTACCTTTTTAAGTAGGATATATATGTAACAGACTCCAAAAAAATGGCGCTAGGTTGCCCCAGAATAGAGACGTTAGAATGAGAGTTTACAGTTCCGAAACCGGCATCCATATAATGATGTCACTACGCAATTGTGTCAGGATCTCACTACGCAATTACGTCAGGACACTATGACATGTAAGAAAGTAAGCGCCCAGATGCAGCTTAATGTCGACAGCAGAACTACGGAGCGGAACTACTGGAAGACATTGGAGATTGGCGCCAATTTTGAAGGTTTAAAAGGAAGGACTATGGAGGATGATGACAGCAACCCACTTTTGAGAAAGGCGGTAGCCGAAACACGTCAGTGGACAAGCGGACTTTTAGTTTTTATGTGACGTCGTTTTTAAAATAGTTTTTTGTCCACCTATTTCACCTATTTCCAGCATCCTGGAGCATGGTGTAAGATCGAATTTACTGAGATTGGCAAAAGAAATATCCTGGCCCACCACTATCATCCGCTGTATCCTCCATATAATACCACTAGTCTGAGTCAGCTTTGTTAAGTGGCTCAGAACCATAGTTGGACCAGTAAAGTGTATATATATTTTAACTGTTAACTATATTACCCTATGGTCTATATTCATATTTTTAGATTCCACATCAATCGAGTATTTGTGGTATTTATGTAATACTGTGTAATACTTTTGTATTTTTCTATTGTTTTGCTTGAAGAGTTACGTCATATATATTTCCAGCATTTCGTGTATTTACGGAATTTAAAATCTAAATAATTAATAGTAGAAATAAGATAACCAGATAGAGCCATTGACCTAACATTTTTTCTTGCAGTCTTTACTGTTAATCTTGTTCATCAAATAGCCGACACAGTCAGCACACGGAATTATTCACTAAACTTCAAATTGAGGCAAATCAAATTCAAATGGCAAACTAAAGCAAAAATAGATTATCTGGAAAATTCTCAGACTCAGATAATTTCTTCGCTTTTTCACTTTTTGCCAAAATTTTGCTTTACGGATTTCAATTTACTGTGATTCTCAGTCTAGTGAACAGACCGCACACTAAACATTGTGCATTAAATTATGTGAGAGAAGCACAAGAAAGCAATGGCATTCCAGAACTTGCATTTGAAGATATATATATATATATATTTTTTTTTTTTACAACTGTGCTAACACTCCATTTCAATCAGGGTTACTCACTAAAGTGTGATTATTTTTCATTTTTTATTTACTTATTTTTTGTTGAAAGCAGGGGATTCATTTTACATTCTAGGCAAAAACAGCCAAACGGAATACAGAGCTGCCTTTTAAAATATTGTCAATTTAGCCTCAAATGTGAAATTCACTTTGAATTCACTACAATTCACACTTTAATGAATAATCCAGGTAGGTTGCAGAACCTGGCAATATATAGGAATTGTCAGTGTTCTCGGTACACTCTCGACCCCTAGTGTTCATAGTTAGTATTGCGCTGACTGCATCATTCACCCAGAGCAGAACTGAATATAATCTGACGCCGCCATAGTGAGAGCAGGCACAGACACTGTGAATTCGATTCATGAAGCTCTCACCGATGTACTGTTTGCTATTGACCCCTATCTGGCGAGCTGGGCAGTCTGCCGACGTGTGTTAGCGATGGAAGACTGAAATATCAGCCTTAGAACACCATGATAGCCGCGCTCTGTGTATGATAATAGCTGCTGTCCTTGGACAAGGCAGGAGACAGTTCCTCTTTAGCAGGTAATATGCTGCAATGAAACGACTGCTTTAAAATTGCTAAATCTATACATTTACAACCGTCTAATAGCAACTTTATTAATCAGACATTTCTATGGGCTGCCGTGCCTGAACTTAAATAACCCTGCCCGGGCATTAGCAGGTTAATCCTTGGTACACGTCATAGGTTAGCTCAATGCATAGCTACATTGAGACACAGTTATCATTGTGTACAAAACATGCTCACTTTTATCAGATCAAAATATAATACATGATGGATATTATTTAACACAACTCCCAATCTCAATTCCTAATCCCAGTAGAATCCAAGAGATCAAGAACTTGATACTTAAGAACTTGATACTAAAATATTAAATCCAGAAAGGCTGATAGCACAGGAGTTAGTACCCCCTACTGCAGTGGCACTAGTACATGCGATCAATAGTAACATGAGCAATTGAAAAAGTACTTAAATCCTGGCTAAAACGAAAATGACACTTTCTGTTTAAATCATTTGGTGATATTATTTATATTATGGTTATTAATGCAATATAGTCACCTGATCGTTTTCACCCCAGAGCTAAGGTTAATAACACTTGCTTTCTAAGAATACCCTTTGCACTCAGCATGCTTTGAAGCTGCCATCCAATGCTTTTCAGGGTGGCCTTTGGAGAGGCTCAGCTAGTCCAGCCCCTTTCCCTTGCTCTGTTTATTTTGGAGCAAGGACATCAGCTGCTGCAACTGTCATTGACTCTTCAATGAATGAGAGCAGAGGACATCTGAACAACCTGTGCAGTTGAACCCCAGAGGATTTGGTGGAGCTGGGTGACAAAGGAGAGATTTAAAATGAGAAGCAGGAGCAATTCTGGAGTTCGTCTTGATGGCTATGCTAGACTTGTTCAACAAACCATCCTATGCCACCAGGTAAGATCCTAGTAACTCAGTTTATATGGAATGTACCATGATATGCTATGCACATTAATATTTATACTGTACCTACTGCATGTGGTATATGGCTCCCCTAGTTTATGGTGTTTTGTATATTTTCACTGACTGTATGTTTTCTCTTATTTTACCACACCATAAACACACCCCAGGGCATTCCCTGCTAAAGGCCGAACACTCCTTTGTATGGACAGTTTTAACAGGTTAATTGCTAGAGCTCATTACCCTACAAAAGATTTTAGTTTTATGTAAATTGCCATTTTCTCTCATGATGAAATCTCTAGATCCTACGGGGTATTCAGAAGAGATGTGCAGTAATAAAACATATACCCAGGACATACTTGAAAATGAGAGAAATCTCAATGTATCTTTCCTGGTAAAATATTTTTTAAAATATTTTATAAATAAATATTTCACATCTGTATAGCATAGGCTATCTTTATTTTATAAAACAAACACAAATTATTTTAGGAAACCCATTCCTTTTGGATTCATTAAAAGTGTTAATCTATTTATTATTAACTATTTATATGATTCCTTGTAATATCTGTAGTTTAATATTGGGTATATTTAAATGTACATCTATTTGTAAAGTTTTTTCATTCTGAAGTTTATTTCTATTTATGCTGCTGGCAAATATATTTTTTTTATTGTTTTATTATTAATACAATCTTTTAAAAATCATATTATACTAAGAATACTGTGTGAATGCTATTTTAATGTTTTATTATTAATACAATCTTTTAACAATCATATGATACTAAGAATACTGTGTGAGTGCTATTTTATTGTTTATTTGTAATAAAATAATGTGAATTTTAAAATATTGTAAGAATGCTGTGTTAGCCTTTGCCCACTTCTAGCCCTGAACTGAGCATTGAGCATATAATGTCGAATCCATATTCTGTAATATTAGGAGTTTTTGGTAGGAATGTTAAATGCAATGCAGATAACTCAGCAGTTACAAAGGGGCAATTGGCTTTATGTATAGAGAGAAATTGTGAAAGAAAGTTATAAAAGTGGAACAATTAGAAGGGCGGTTCCAGTGGTTTCCATGGCGAGTGATCCATTTACAGTATTGACACAGTTTCTCTGCACACTCATTGTGATTTGTATTTTATCTTATCACTGTTTTTTGACTCCTGTGGGACAATTGAGTGTTGTTTGTTAGCATAAGGCAGCGAGTGTATCTAACAAGTACATTTAATCAAAAGTTTTGCCTGTTAAACTAACAACTCAGGGTGAGCCATTTTAACCCCTTAAAGATTAATTCTATTTAATGCTGTAAATACAATCTAGATACCAAAGACCTTATGTCAGCATTGAACGCCCGGCCTATTTACCATTGGCTATATTATGAAACACCTGTCTACATATTTATTTTATTATACATTTGTATGGTTTTCAGTTTTGTATAAAGACCTCCCACCTTTAAATAAGTGGAATAGTCTACATTGATATTGAATTTTAAAAAGGCTTGTTTGTTATTTATTCCATCACAGGTCCATACAGGGTTAACATTTTGTAAAATCTGATGCAGTGACTCTACCAGTCATATTCCGTACGCATGTCAGACAGCACAAGCATTTTGTTTACTAAATTTTGGCCAAATTACCACATGCTCTGTTCAGTGAATGGAGCTCTTTTAAAGTTAACCATGTTTATAAAACATAACTTAGGTTACCACACTTAAAATGTTGTTTAAAATCGTACATGCTACTATGATATTTAAACTTTCAAATTAGAAATATGTTAACGTATATAAAAACTTTAAAAAATGTATTAATGTACTTATCTTTAAACAGATCGTAAAATAATCTGATTGTATTTATTAAGATAAGGAACACACAAACATTTGTTTTAACTATTATGACAATAGGACACAAGACTTTACTGTAAGCAATTTAAAAAACAAACAAACCAAGAAATCTTCAAGATTTGCATAGGAGGTTCTGTGTTTGTACATAAGAGCCAGAACAGAGGATGTGGTATGGACAACACTGGAATATGTGCAGTGTTTAAAGGAGAAGTAACCAAATCAAAGAGAAAATAATGCAGATACAAGTTATCCAATGGATGGAAATTTTTTTAGGAGAGTTAAAAACCATACCATGTTTTAATATATTAAAAACTAAAGGTCAACATTCTGTTTCCCCCACAGTAGTATTCCTTTAGTTGCTTGTGGATAGATAGTGCTGCCACTGACATTTGAATCCAGGCATATGTTATTCACGTAGCAATCATCACAGTCTGGAATTGTGCCTGTCGGTGTATACTATAGAAAGGGAAGCCCTTCTGTGTACAGATCAATGGCACGGCACCACTTAGTTGTAAATTTAGAAGCACTCAGTGCCAGGAATAGCATGGGAACACATTTTACACGTAGGCCCGAAAATTACTTCTTCACTTGTGTATCCTGGTTGCCTCTGAAGCTTACAAGTGTTTAAAGAAAATTGTATTGATTTGAAATTTTAACCAATTATATATTCTCTGACCTAAGAATGTGTGCTGCATTGGCATCCCAGCATAATTCTGTGAATCAAGTTTAGCCAAAAAATTTAATAAAGCAGTGTCTTTACATACTTTCAAGGGGTCATATTTAGGAGGGACAGTCCATATTCTGTGCTCAAATCCTTGTTTTTTAAGAGCTCTATATTGTTGATGTGTCTGAGTGTATAACAGAACTCCACAGCAATAATACTCACAGTAATTTGTCTATAAACTGCAATAAATGTGTTTAGAAATCAGTCGGTGTCAATAAGATACATTGACTTTGTTCTAAATTATAGTTTATCTTCATACATTTTTATTAGAAGCTCGACTAAATTTCTCAGAAAAGCTTGTCCCTGGCCACATCCACACTCATACCACTAGCATTAAAGTGTCCCTCTTTATGCATTTGAAATGTTGGAAGATATGTTATGAAGTAACACTAAACCTTTTGCGGCATTTTGTTTTTTCCCCTCCCACCTCACCCCGCACACTCCACCAAGTGACCTCTAAGTCCAGGGAAGGCCCTGTGTTGATGTTGTCTGTACCAGGCATGTAGCAGTCAGGTGCAGGAAGTATGAAGCAGCATGTATCTATATAGGTTTGTTTGGTATTTGTGGCAGAGGTGGCAGTACCACAGCTACCGATTCATAGAAAAAAGTATTTTATATATATAATAGACAGCAGAAAAAAGGGATAAAGAAAAGAAAATCTGAGTTCCTACTTACAAACAGGGCAATGTAACTAGTGAAACACCAAATTTTGACAAAAACCAGGGCTCTCGCTGGTACTCATAGCATGCTTACTCTTCATTGGCATTGTTATCAATTCCATCTAAACTGGATGAGTCAGTGGCTGTAAACACATTTAATTATGGATAACTAAACGTGTACATGTTAGTTACTAATAAAGAGTTTTCCTGACTCCAACATTTTGGTCCTGGTTCCTAAATTCAAGCAGAGTTCAAATAACCAGGCAATAAACCATAAGATCATAACTATTTATTTGTCAATTATCCCTTTTATGTGAATGTATTTGATTGTCTTTATACTTTGTGTTTACAAGTGAATGAGGAGTTAATATGTTGAAAAAACACTTATGTAAATGAATGGCCTGAGGTAAACTGCAAAGTTATGGCCATTGTTGTATAGCTAGTGCTTGAAGGCTGTATTTTGCTCAAACCTTAAAAATAAACAAATCTGGGTACTTTTTGAAATGAACTTGCTTGGGGAGAAAGTTGAACCAACATATTAACCCTTTAATAGCTTACCATGGAATCTGGAAGCTTCACAAGTCAGCTATATAAGAACTTTCAAATAAATAAATACACTGAAGATTAAACATAATGGTAATGGTTCTTTTTAAGTCTGTATAACACTAAAGGTAAACCAGTAGCAAACAAGCCTTCCGCTGCTGGCATACACCACTTAACCTGATTACAGTCAGGTAAAGACTAATAAAATATACAATGTTTTACTACAATGGTAAAGATATACCAATAGTAAAAAAGTGCGTAGCGCTTAAAGTGGTGTTACACTTACCCCCTAGGGGTTGAACAATGATAACACAAAAAAATAAAAAGGGAACACGTATAGTGTAATAACGTAGATATTAAGTCAGTGGAGTAAATTAAAAAAGGATCCACTCACGTGGTAAAGAGCCCAGTATGGATAGGCTCCGGTCACCTCCGCTTTAGTGTACTATGGTGGCACTCAACCTTTTCATTGAAATTATAGCTGTCCGTATCCTCATAAGAAAGGAAACAAAACAGGAAGGAGAGACAGGAGGGGGGAACAAGCCTTACTGCACAAACTTAACAACAGGTTATTACTGTAGTGCACAGTTTGCTTAGCACCTTTTAAGGTGCTTGGACCTGGCACCTAGTATATAAGCAGATGTATCAAAAAGGGAGATACTACGCTTCTTTACCTCGCAGCAGCAACAGTAGATGATCTACAGGACACTGTTCCAAATGTAGTAACAGAAATGTATTCAATAAAACATATATTAAAAAACATCCATGTAATTCATTATCCGAGAGATGTTTCGCCAGTCGCAGCCTGGCTTTATTAATCGGTAACATTCTGCTGCAGATCCTTCAGTTTAAATATCCCTGGGTTTATTGTAATTGGTGAAGCATCACTCGCAATACCGCCAATCACGAGTGATGTTCCTGGAGGAGTGGCTGAGTGTTTTGCCCCTTTGCTTAAAGGGACACTATAGTTACCCAAAAGACTTTAGCTTAAGGAAGCAGTTTTGGTGTATAGATCATGATCCTGCAGTCTCATTCCTCAAATCTCTACAATTTAGGAGTTAACTCCCCTTTGTTTCTGTCCATGCAGTCCTAGTCACACCTCCCTGGCTGTGACTCACACACCATGCATGAAAAAAGAAAATGGTTTCACTTTCAATTAGATGTAACTTACTTTAAAAGTAATTATTGCCATCTCTCTAAAGTGAATTTTAATCCTACACAGGAGGTTTCTGTGGGGTCTAGCAAGCTATCAACAGTGCAGGGGATAATAAATTTTAAATTAAATAGAATTTACAATGAAGGAAGTGTGAACATTAGCTGACTCTTTACAGGAAGTGTTTAGGAAGGCTGTGCAAGTTACATGCAGGGAGGTGTGACTAGGGTGCATAAATAAAGTGATTTAACTCCTAAATGGCAGAGAGTTGAGCAGTGACACTGTAGGGAAATGATTTATACACCAAAACTGCTTCAATAAGCTAAAGTTGTTTAGGTGACTATAGTGTCCCTTTAATGACGTCGGACTCCTCAAGACTAATAAAATAGATGATTTGCAGTAATAAGTATAGTAAGTCTGCTATTCACAAAGTATGAGATAAGATGACATAACCTTAACCAACTTATTGTTCTGTGATGTAAAGTTTATTTCTCCTGATCTCTCATCTTGAATAATTGGTTCCAGGGCAGCTCAAGGCAAATAAACAAGAAAATAATGAAATACTTTTTTTCTTCCTTCTCATAAGCCTAACTATCCTATAGGCAGGGCCAGTCCTTGAAATGGAAGATAGAATGTTTATAACCCCAGCGTTACCTGCTCCTCCCCCACCTCCCCATACCTGTTGCTTACCTACTTCAGAGATGTAGAACCTGATGGTCCAGTGTTAGCATAATGTGGTGTTGTGTGCATTTCACTATTACTTGAGACCAAGGACATCACTCTGTATGCTCAAAACCTCACATTATTGCAAGGAGTGGGCACCTTGCTCTCATTTAAATTGATATGCCTAAAATAACACACTGTTTTTATTCCCTCAAATGCAAATTTCCTGTCGAGTTCTGCTTTACATATATACAGTAGAGCAGATCCATACTATGTACAGTACATGACATTAGCTTTACAATCTCACTCAACTTGTCCTTCACCATTCTCTATTACTTCTGTTACAATATTTGGAAAACTAAAGCCGAAATTGTCACAATAAAACCAATGGCACCGAGGACAGTATATGACATCATCCATTGTGCTAAACGATGCAGAGTACGACTGCAAGGGCCCTTTAATGTAAAACATTTAAAAACATTTTTTATGCTTTATTTATTACTGTCAAAGGAAGTGCAGGGCTGGACAGATGGATAGACAAACACTGTGCATTACTATCATCAGAGACAGAATTGACTAATAAAAACAAAAAAACTAAAATTTTATTTAATTTTTGTGAATCTTTGTTAGTTTTGTTATATACTCTTTTGGTCCATTTTCCATTTGTGCTATGTTTTCACTTAGTATTGGAATATTTTGACCAACTATAATATGTGAAATGTTAGTTTGCTACTCTGAAAGTTCTCACATAGAATGGACAGTAGAATTATATATAGACTTAAAAGAATTTTGTAAAAAAAATCCACATGGGGACATATCTACACCCAACTATAACCTAGGAACATTACTAGAAAGTCTAACATTCTACCAGACTATACATTCTCATCAATCACGGTATATTTCCAAAGACATTACATACAACTGTAAAACTTTGTTGAAAAAAACTAAACATTTGCCCATGGACTTTAACCCCTTAAGGACACAGCTTCAGAAGCTTGTCTTACGCTTAATGACACAAGCAATTTTTGCATTTTCTTGCTGTATGCGTTCAACTGCAATTTGCATCTCTCTCGTTTATTGCACCGACACATATTATATACTGTTTTTTAAAAGGACAGAAAGGGCTTTAATTTGATGTAACACACACACACACACACACATATATATATATATATATATATATATATATGCTTATTTATTATAAAAAAAAAGAAAAATGCAAAAAAAAGAAATATTTTTTGTACAGTTTTTGCAATAATAATGTGTGCCTAATTAGTGCAGGTTAAAGAAAGTAATTAAAAATAAATTCATTTAGTTGTTCTGATTTACAGAATATATAATGTGTCTGGGATTTTAAGTTTTTTTTTTTTTTTTGGTAATTACAGGTCACAAAGCACAAGGAGTAAAATAAACTTTTAATATGGAGCGATTTTAGAATTTGGTATGTTTGTCTTGTAAGCTTAATAGCCATAAAAGAGAACAAAATTGCCACACAAAAGTATATATTTATATAAAGTAGACATCACAGGCTATTGTTCTAAAGTTGTTTTGACACTTTCCATGTAGCCATTTCACCACCAATCTCTGCTAAATATTGGAGTAAAATTTTGTTGTTTGGGTTTTTTTGCACACAAACTTATAACAAAGAACTTCTCATGTGTATTTTGTAAAGTTGGTGTGTGCTATTCCTGTACAGTTACTTGTGTTCAGTTACTTCTGCTGAGTACAACGATACCCCCATTATATGTCTTTGGCATTATTTCGTGAAGCTACAGTGCCATATAGGAGACCTGTCCGTTTCAACATTTACAGTAGAATTTTGAGAGGCGGATTTAATAGGCCTATGCTTCAATTTGGGGTATTATAGCAGTTTGACTGTTCAAAAAAACCCCACAAAGGCCTACCATTTGTAAAAGTAGACACTCCAGGGTATCTCATATGGTGCATATTGTGCCTTAACATGCCCCCATTTTTTCACCAATATATGCCAAAGTATGTGGTAAAATATAATTTGGGATATTTTTTACATACGGATTACATTTTTGCTGGGCATTTTGTACATTTCAAACCCCCCCAAATTATGCTAAGTTACATCTTCTGAGTAAAACAATATGCCCAATGTATGACCAAGACAATATTTTGTGAAGTTACAATGCTGTAAAAGAAACGTGACAAGTTAAGGTTTTTAAGTGTGAATTTTCATGGAGGGTTTTGATGCGTCCGTGTCCCACTTTGGAGCACTTGAGCAGGCTACATATTACAACTACACCATAAAGGCATACCATTTCTTAAAGAACACATCCCAGGGTATTTCAAAAGGCATATTTTGAACCTTAGCGTGGGATAATTTTTCCGCTAGCTTGAACCAAATGTAGTGGTAATAAGCATTTTTTCTGCCTTTTTGACACACAAAGTGAGTTTGCGCAGTATATTTTTCAAACCTTATGTGTGCTACGACTGTATAATACTTCATATGTTGCTCAGCTGTGTCGGCTGAGTACAGCAATACCCCCGTATGTACCTTTGCCAGGTATATGTGGACATTGAAGGGGCACATTTGAGACACAGCCATTCCAGTTTTTCTCAAATTTAGAATTTTTACGCTGTGTCCATGTCCCATTTTAGAGTATTTTACAAGGCTATATAATCCAATTACACCATAAAGGCATACCATTTCTTAAAGAAGACATCCCAGGGTAATTCAAAAGGCATATTTTGAACCTTAACGTGGGATCATTCTTCCGCTAGCTTGTACCAAATGTAGTGGTAATGAGCATTTTTTATGTATTTTTTTACTTTGCAAAACCCGTTTTTAAACTTTTTTTTACTTATTACATTTTTTACACTTTCTTAACTTTTTTTACACTTAAAAATTTTTTTCTTAACTTTTCTTTTACAGTTAACCCCTAACTAGCAGTAAGCAGCACTAACAGTAAATCCCCCCCTTTCCCATAACTCCCATCCAGTCCAGCAAGCAAAATATATATAATTATAAAATATTTAAATTAATTAATTAAATAAATTGAACCCCTAAGGGTTACAAAATAAATAAAAATTAATCCTCAGGAGTTAAAAGAAATTAGATTACAGTATAATACTGTGATCTGTATTTTGATCACTGTAGGCAGTGATCAACTGGCAGGGAAGGGGTTAATTTTTATTTAGACTGGGTAAAGGGGGGGTGGTATTTTTTTTTTTACTTAAACGTTACTAAAACATTTTTTAAAAACTTTTTTTACCTTTTTAAAGCTTATTTTTATAACTTTTTTTAACGTTGACCCCTAGTTAGACTAACACCAAATTCCCCAATTCCCCACTAACTTCCAACCATCCCAGCTAGATAAATATATAATTTTTAAATATTTAAATTAATTAATAAAATACATTTAACCCCTGAGGGTTAAAAAAAAAGAATTAACCATCAGGGGTTAAAAAAAATAATCAGATGACATTAAAATGTATACCCTGCCAATTGATCACTGTAGTCAGTGATCAATTGTCAGGGAAGGGGTTAATTTTATTAAAGCAGGGGAAAGGGGGGGTGGGATTTAACTTTTTTTTTTACACAGGGAGAACATCAGCAGCACTGATCCGTCTCCCTGCACTTCACACTGAACCCGGAAGTGCAGGGAGGCGGAAGGTGAGTATACTGAGCACATGTGCTCGCTCTGACAGCCTGTCAGAGCGAGCACCGGTGCTGTGGCAGCTCGATCGGGTGCTCCCGGTCTGCCTCTAATACAGAGGCAGACCGGAGCACCATTAACCCCACGATCGCGGCGATCGCGGCAATTGCGGCGATCTGGGGTTAACTTTAGTAAAAGACGGAAATTTTCCGTCATCGGTCCTTAACTAAAGGACAAGGTTGATGGAAAATTTCCGTCTGCGGTTGGGAAGGGGTTAAATTGAGAAAGCAATTATAATCAACAATAACAAATCTATAGTTGCCTGATGACTTGTATTGTGTTCTGCTCTAAACTTACTTTGCATTTACCCAAACAAACTTGCTGTATTTGAATGACAATTCCGAGAACAAATTTGGAAACACAAAACAACTTTTCATATCCTTACGTGTTCTGATAATGGAACAATATGCAACTGCATACCAGCTAAAAGGACCACTATAGGCACCCAGACCACTTCAACTCAATGAAGCGGTCTGGGTGCCAAGTCCCCCTAGTTTTAACCCTGCAGCTGAAAACATAGCAGTTTCATAGAAACTGCTATGTTTACATTGCAGGGTTATTATTATTATTTTTATTGTTATTGCCATTTATATAGCGCCAACAGATTCCGTAGTGCTTTACAATATTATGAGAGGGGGGATTTAACATAAATAGGACAATTACAAGAAAACTTACAGGAACAATAGGTTGAAGAGGACCCTGCTCAAACGAGCTTACAGTCTATAGGAGGTGGGGTATAATCCAACCTCTAGTGGCTGTCTCCCTGACATGGAGTAAATCGCACTTATCTGACACTGGACGACCTCACAGAGTCCAGCGTTAAGTAAAATCCCTGATTTGAATGCATCCGCTCCTCTGGCCGCGCATGCGCATTCCACTCCACTCAGGAACTGACGTCGGTGGGGGAGGAGAGGTAACCAGTGCCGAGGGAGCCTGGTGCTGGTTTTACCCCTTCAGCGCTGAGGGAGGGGGTAGTCCAAGAGTCTATAGTGCCAGGAAAACGGGTTTGTTTTTCTGGCACTATAGGATCCCTTTAAGCTCATATTTGTATTAAATATATAAATAAAAATTTATTACAATGACGGCTTACATGGTACAATCAAACAGGACAGAAACTTGACTGCAGTGAAGGAGCAGGAACATGGCTGTCTGTTATTTTATTAATTCACCCTGTGCATAGAGAAATGGGAGGTGGACTTCATTAGCCTTCCTTAGACTCAAATGATCTTATTCCAAGACTCGAACAGCTGATTATGAAACCTAGGTGGCAAATCTTGGTCCCTATGTTGTTAGGTGATCCAGTCCTGCTATCTCTGCAATGAAGTGAGAAAAAGGGAAGCAAATATAGAGAGGAAATTAAGGTCAGCATTTTTTTTATTAAAGGGACACTCAAACAACTTTAGCTTAATGAAGCAGTTTGTGTATATAGATCATGCCCCTGAAGTTTCACTGCTCAATTCTCTGCCATTTAGGAGTTGAATCAGTTTTGTTTCTATTTATGCAGCTGGAGCCACAACTCCCCTGGCTGTGACTGACTCAGCCTGCATGATAACAAAATGGTTTAAAGGACCACTCTAGGCACCCAGACGACTTCAGCTTAATGAAGTGGTCTGGGTGCCAGGTCCAGCTAGGGTTAACCCATTTTTTCATAAACATAGCAGTTTCAGAGAAACTGCTATGTTTACGAATGGGTTAAGACTTCCCCTATTTCCTCTAGCGGCTGTCTCACCCTCAGGGCACTATAGTGCCAGGAAAACGAGTATGTTTTCCTGGCACTATAGTGGTCCTTTAATTTACAATCAGATGTAACTTACTTTAAATGTTTTTGCCCCATGCTCTGTAAATTGAACTTTAATCACACACAGGAGGCTCAGTGGTGTACACACAAACCATGGGGCCCCGGTGCGAAAATTATCAGTGGGCCCTCCCTCCCCCACACACACAGAAACATACAAACAAACAGACAGGCACACATATATACATACAGACAGACACATACAGACAGACACACACACACATACAGACAGACAGACACACACAAGACACATACATAAAAAACAGGCAGACACACACACACACAGACATGCACACATACAGACAGACACACACACACACACACACACAAGATGCACATACATACATACAAACAGACAAGCACACACACATACAGGCAGACACACACACACAGACATACATACATCCACAGACAGGCACACATGGCTCAGGTGAATGGGAGTCAGAGTTCCCACTCTGACTCTCTCTGCTTCCTCCTGCGCGGCTCTCAGTGTTAGCTGGGAGGAGTGATGTGCAGTCACTTCCTCCCAGCAGTGATGTCATCACAGGGGGCCCGGTCAGCGCTAAGCGCTTTAGCAGCGCGACCAGGCCCCCTTACCATTCCGGAGAAGATGATGGCGGCGGATACCTGGTCACAGGGGTCCGCAGGGCGGCCGAGCCTGCTGAGTGGCGGGCTGGGTCACAGCTGCGTCCCCTGCGACCACGGTATGTATGCTGCTGAGGAGGCTCCTGCAGGGTCTATCATGCTATTACCAGAGCAAGAGATAAGAAATTCTAAATTAAACAGATATTGCAATAAAGTGTAAACACTAGATGACTCTTTACAGTAAGTATTTAGGAAGGCTATGTAAATCACATGTAGAGAGGTGTGGCCAGAGCTGCATAAACAAAGTAATATAATTAGAGATGTCCCGAACAGTTCGCCGGCGAATAGTTCCCGGCGAACATCGCATGTTCGCGTGCGCCACGGTGGGCGAACATATGCTATGTTCGGTCCGCCCCCTATTCCATATCATTGAGTAAACTTTGACAACCCCCCCACCCGCCGCTTGGGGCTGGGGGTTGTTAAAGTTTACTCAATGATATGGGGGGGGGACCTACTGTCCTCCCCCCGGCCCCCACCCCTGAGCGGTGGGTGGGGGCCCTAAAAAAAACAATAGGGGGGATTGGTGGATTGAAATGGCCCCCACCCACCGTGCAGGGGTGGGGGCGTGGGGGGAGGACAGTATTTATGGCCCCCACCCGCCGCCCAGGGGTGGGGGCCAGGGGGAGGACAGTAGTTCCCCCCTCATTATCTTTATGGCCCCCACCCGCCGCCCAGGGGTGGGGGCCAGGGGGGAGGACAGTAGATCCTCCCCCCCATTTTTATTTATGGCCCCCACCCGTCGCACAGGGGTGGGGGCAATAGGTTTTTTTTTTTTTTACAGTGAGCAGCCACTGGCTGCTCACTGCTTACTAGACATGCCCCTACTCGCTGCATAGCGAGTAGGGGCAGAATTTACTAATACTAAGTAATCTTTACTTAGTATTAGTAAATGTGGCTGAAAGACCAATTTAGTTCTTTCAGCCTTTTAGTAGATAGCTCTCTAATACCGTGGGAATTAGGGAGTTATCTGCTAAGCGGCTTCAAGATGCAGCCGCAGATCGGAGTTTGCATGCCACAGTCCAGGTGTTAGTCCCCTTGAAACAACTTTTCCATCACTATTGTGGCCAGAAAGAGTCCCTGTGTGTTTTAAAATTCGCCTGCCTATTGAAGTCTATGGCGGTTCGCCCGGTTCAATAAATTTCGTATTCGCGACATCACTAAATATAATTCCTAAATGGCAGAGAATTGAGCAGTGAGACTGCAGGGGCATGATTTATACACCAAAACTGCTAAGCTAAAAGCTAAAGTTGTTTTCATAACTATAGTGTCCATTTAACTTAAATCAATATATTACAGAAATATAATGCCCAAAGTGGCTTAACTATATATAAAGATGCTTTTGTTAATTTATTGTTATCATATCTCTTAGAATTTGGTTTTATGTTCCAATGTTCATTATATAGTGTATAGTGAAATAGTATAAACCACAAGTGTTGAAACAAGAATAAATATTCCTCAATTTCCTGCCTTCAACTGATAGCCTGTCTTTCACTGCCAGAAGCTGCACTAGTATTCAGTTTAAAAATAGAGCCTGTTGCTTGTTCTGGAAAGATTCATTTTACATTTAAGAGGCCTACATGTCTGCCAAGGGGGCCGGACATTTATTGCAAGAAGCACACTTTGCTATTTTTCTCAATGAAGTCACTGAAAATTTTATTTTTAGAAAGTTAATAAACTCTCCTTTCCATATTTGAGTGAATCAAGTCAAGATTTGCTTCACGTTGGATTCGGTCTACATTATAGTCAGCATTTTCAAATTTAAAAATCATGGGTTCAGTGAATGAATAAGGGCAGTCAGAAAATCCTTGTGGGCTACTTGATTATTATTTCCTACTTGTACATATTGACAAGGTTCACGAGACTTGGGCACCAGAATAAGTGAAAGGGTTGTTGTGTTCTTTTAACACATTTGGTGCTAAGGGAAGGGACGCCTATCACTTGTTTGGATCGGTGCTGGGTCATACTGATATAAAGTTTTCACATATTAAACCAACAGTGTTTAGGGTTTACCTGAATAATATTTATTTAACATTCCTTTCACAGAATCCAGTCACTGGACTGCTCCCCGCCAGTAAAGAACAGAAAGATGCCTGGGTTCGGGACAATGTGTACAGCATCTTGGCTGTATGGGGACTAGGAATGGCATACAGAAAAAACGCTGATCGAGATGAAGACAAAGCCAAGGCTTATGAACTCGAACAGGTAAGAAAAATTGCTAAAAAAAAAAACCAGTGTATGTTTTTTTTTTCCAGGAATATTTTAATTGTAAGTAAATCAATTAAAGGAACACTCAATCCTTAGAAAAAGTAAATTTTATAGAGAGCAAATTCTTATTTATATGCATTATTTTTGGGGTAATATTTGGTGTTCATTAGAGAAATCTTGTTATATTCCTGATTCCATTCATTTTCTATGTAGAAGCACCCAGCCTTTTAATAGATCATTAGGATCTTGCACAGACTCATGCAGTTAAGTAGGCTGTATAGATTCAGCCCTGAATTAAGATATAAATGATGTGTGATATAAAGCATTGACATCGCTATGGCATCAAGACTAACCATTTAAAGCAGGCTTCCCCAAACTCCAGACCCTCCAGATGTTGCTGAACTACAGCTCCCATGACTCTCCGCCTATCTATTTCATTCAGAGAATCATGGGAGTTGTAGTTCAGCAACATCTGCAGGGCCGGAGTTTGGGGAAGTCTGATTTAAAGTATCCTCTGAGAACCATAACCCCTGCAGCCTATTGTAGTGCATATGGGGCAAACTATTAAGTGCTTAGAGTGTTAGTTCAACTGTGACTTTCACCAAGCTATTTATAGTCACAGAGATATTATGGCATACAAGATTGTTCTGAATTGACCTGCTCAGGACAGTTTTCCGTGGAGTTACCATTAGACTCATAATTTTCCAAGATGCTGAGTGAGACCCAGGATCAAATGATTTATAAAGCACAGTTCAGCCTGAGTTAAAGTTGACCCTTGGGTAGTCCCAGGATGCATATTAAAATTAATAGTTGTTATTCTGTGCAAGTATCCTGGTATCAGTGGTGTCATATAAATGAATATGTTAATAAACGATAACATACTACAAAAAGGTACACTGTCAAAGACAGGATTGTGACAGGTTAAAGAGGAGCTGAGTGAGTTACTATTAGAAAGGTTGACCTTTGGAACCTGGAGATGAGACAGAAGAATGTGTAATTAAACTACAATAATGTGTTTAGAAATAAGTATGTGTAAGTATGATACATTGTTCGTGATCTAAATTACATAGTTGCATAAATTGTTTTAGTAAATTTAAAAGAAAATAATAAAATAAAATGTTGCACAGCTTTGTGGAAACATTAGGCTATAAGGGAAGAAATTTTAGGGATGTGCTGTGCTAAAATTCTATACTTGTTTCTCCTACAGACTTATTCACTAAAGTGAGAATTCAAAGTGAAAGTAAAAATTAAGGTCAAAATATCCAAAACAAAGAAAATGATCTAAGTCAGCTATGCTTTCACTTTGGCTACTCTGGCCTGAAATAGGAAAATCACTCTGAAATGTCACTTTAGTAAATAATTGTAAAAGTTACCAATGTAACCATGGGCTTCTGGCAGCAAATTTCCAACTGCCTCAACTGGCAAACATTGCACAAAAGCTGGTGCATGGTGCACAAGTGTCTTCTTTTTGTTATTATTTAGTATTATTGTAATGTGCCAGCATATACTGTAGCTCTGCATAATTGGGGGAAAGCAATACATACATATCAATACATGCTCATGTATGTAACATCATTTTTTTTTTTTTTTAATTTGACAATTTTTATTTTCAAATGTAAATAGGGTACAAAAAGGAAGAGGGAAGGGATTCATAGTAAATAATTTCACATTTGCTTGTTGCAGGTACATTATCATGGTTAGGTTTACATCTTTGTTAAGGTTAAGGTTGAGAACTCTACGTGTGTCACATCTGAGTGGGTTAAACAGTGGGTGTAACATATGTCTCCTAAACACCATTTTCTACCTTTTCTGTTGAGGTCTTACTCATGATGGCCTGGGTTTATGAGCTATCATGCCTTGTCATGTTTGGGACCCAGGCTCCGCATGTTACCTTCATCGTTGGTGAGTGTGCGGGGATTGGGTCGGTTGGGGGGGATGGGGGTTGTAGGCGGTTGGGGGGGGGGTCGGTCGGGACGTGAATGGGTGTAGCTGGGTTCATATAGGTTGTGTACTGTTTAATTGAGGTTTTCGTAGTTGGACGTATTCGTTCCCTCTCCGTGAGGGTTTTTATGATCTTGTGTGTCATGTTAATGGGGTTTGTTTTTGTCCCACAGCTCCCAAGCTGCTGACCAGTGGAAGCTTTTCTGCTGTGTCTTCCTTGCTAAAGTTTCATATAGTTTGGCGTGCTCTATTGTTTCTATGCATTGTTTGAGCGTTGGGGTTGTTGTTTGCTTCCACTGTCTGCTTATGACAGTGAGGGCCGCAATTATGATATGATATGTCATGTATTTGATGTGTGTATGTGGCTCCTGTGGGAGCAGAAGTAGGAGGAACTTTTCAGGTGTTGAGGGTAGTTTCAGCCCCGTGCATCGGGTCGTTAGGTTTGCAACTTGTGTCCAGTAGTGTTGAAGCAGTGGACAGTGCCACCATATATGTATCAGAGTTCCTTTGTTTGGCATATCCAGCATGAGTCAGATGTGTCAAGGAAGCTGTGTTTGAGTCTTGTGGGAACCAAATACCATCTGTAGAGTAGCTTGCATGAAAGTTCTAGGTGGTTTGTACAGAGTGTTAGTCGTTTGTGGGCTTGGTAGATGTCTTGCCATTGTTCTTCCGTAAGCGGGTGTCCGATGTCCTTTTCCCATGCTGATTTGAAGGAGGGTGGTTGTTTTCGGCATTGTGTATGTTCAGAGGTGTAAATCAAGGATATGAGTTTCTTTGCCGACTTGGTTTTGGTGCATATCTGTATTATTTTATCCCAATGTGGGCCTGGTATCTGTGTTTCTGGTTGTGCCAGTTGGGAGTTCGTCCAAGATTGTATTTGGAGATAAGAGAAGGTTGCTGTGGATGGCAGAGTGTATTCTGTTCCTAGGTCTGAAAATGTCTTAAGTTTGTTGTTTTGTAGTAGTTGAGACACGGTTTCCACCCCATGTCTTTGCCAGAGCTTGTGGTTGAAATCGGGAATGAATAATCGTAGTGCTTCGATAGGGATTGCTGGGGCTAGTGTTGTCTTTTTTCTATAGTTGTCCCATATTGAGAGGGTTAGCGCAGTAGTAGGCAGTAGTTCAGTGGTTTTCAGTCTGTGGGTTTTGGATAGCCATGCCAGAGTTGGTAGTGCAAGTCCCTTTGCATGGTTCTTCTCTATTTCGGTCCATGCTGTTGGGTTACAGTTGTTCGACGCTGTCAACAGTGGTGCTATTTGAATGTAACATCATTTTAATGTGCAGTGCTTACCATGGTGACTAGTTGGCTTCAGGGCCGCCACCAGAAATTCTGGGGCCCCTAACTCAGCTCAGGGTCTGGGCCCCCTGGGGCGTGCCTCCAAATACCGCCCACAGGGTCCGCCTCCAAATACCGCCCACAGGAATACACACACAGACACAAACACACACACTGATACAAAAGGACAGAGATACATACTGACACACACATACTGAGACATACACACATATACAGACACACAGGCATACATAGTGACAGACAGACACATACTAACATAAATACAGACACACATCCATACACACAGGCATACGTTCATAATATGCATTCATACTGACATGCATATATACATATATAATGACATACATACATACATATATACATACATAGACATACATACAGACAGACAGACATACATGCATGCATACAGACATACATAGACATGCATGCATGCATACAGACATACAGACAGACATACATGCATGCATACAGACATACATACATAGACATACATGCATGCATACAGACAGACATGCATACAGACATACATACATACAGACAGACATACAGACATACATGCATGAATACAGACATACATACCTACAGACAGACAGACAGACATAGACATACATACATACATAGACATACAGACAGACATACAGACATAGACATGCATGTATGCATACAGACATACATAGACATGCATGCATACAGACAGAGATACATACATACAGACATACATACAGACAGACAGACATGCATACAGACAGACATGCATGCATACAGACATACATACATACATACATAGACATACATGCAGACAGGCATACATAGAAATACACACACACACAGAGCTCATTTTCCAGCCACCCTCCTGTTTCTTACCTTTTCTTTGCAGGAGGGTGGCTGGGGATGATTGGAGTAGTCGGCTGGCTCTCCCTCACTGCCTGGCTTGTGGTCCTCCTCTGCGGAGTGAGCTGGGAGGAAGTGACCACTGTTTTTTTTTTTTTTAAAGGGGCCCGGTCGCGCTATTGCATGGCCACAGCTCTGACTGTGCCCCTGAAGATATAGAGCCCATCGGGTGGCCCTAAGTGCGTGGGCCACCCGATAGGCCCCATCAGCGTGCGGGCCCCAGTGCAAGTGCACCGGCGGCAGTTCCACCGCTACACATGGGGCCCATTATGGTTGTCACCCCCTGATGGCGGCCCTGGTTGGCTTGTAATCAAAAGGTATATGTCCCTTCAATTTAACACACTTAAACAGGACGTCACTTTTTTATATAGTTGTTTTTTTTTTTAATTAAGAGCAACATTTTTTTTTTACTTCATGACATTGCAGATGTAATTTTATATAAAACATAGTAAAACATAAAAAGGCAGAGGTTACAGCTTAAAATAACACTGAAGACACCATAACCACTTCAACTGATTGATTTGGTTATGGTGCCTGGATTCCATGGAACCATACTCAAATACACGGAGACACACTCTCAGATACATGTGGACTGTAGACACACACAATGCACATTACCACACACTCAAGACAAACACACAGTCAGACACAAACACTGACACGAATACCTACTTTTAGTCACCCTCTTGTGTGCATATAGTTTCACTGCGGCAGGGTATTTTGCTGCAGTAGTGTGGAACTTTCTATTGCAGTCAAGCAGCTTTCTCATTGCTGGGCTCTGTTTGTGATATGGGTGTAATTAAAGGATCACTATAGGGTCAGGAACACAAACATGTATTCCTGACCCTATAGTGTTAAAATCACCATATAGCCCACCTGGGCACCACATGCCTCCATAAATAAAGCAAAATCTTACTGTAAGCCTGAAGCTGTAGATCTGCATGCTGTTTGCCTAAGAAAAAACAGTCTGCTGACATCATCAGAAGTTGTGACTTGATCCAATCACAGTGTTTCCTCATAGGATTGGCTGTGACTGACAAGGAGGCAGATCAGGGGCAGAGCCAGCATGATTCAAATACAGCCCTGGCCAATCAGCATCTCCTCATAGAGATTCATTGATTCAATTCATCTCTATAAGGAAAGTTCAGTGTCTGCATGCAGTGGGAGGAGACACTGAATGTTTGGATGCATTTTAGGCAGCCATGACCCAGGAAGGATCTTTTAACAGCTATCTGAGGAGTGGCCAGCGAAGTTATCACTAGGCTGTAATGTAAACACTGCATTTTCTCTGAAAAGACAGTGTTTACAGCAAAAAGCCTGAAGGTAATGATTCTACTCACCAGAACAAATGCAATAAGCTGTAGATGTTCTGGTGACTATATTGTCCCTTTAATATAAAGTTACTTCCTCCTTCCCAGCATAATGCTGCCGGTGATGAGTTTGTGATCTTGGACGGGCTGTTCAAAAGCCGTGTGCTTTAGAAATATCTCCCCAGCTGGACTGAATTGCATTAAAGGGCCCCATGTGGGTCTCGATGTTTGTCTAGGCCCCTGAACACATAATGGCCATTCATGCTCTGATGATGGCCCTGTACATTATTATGGTTTGTGGGAGGAGCACAACCAGGCTGTTGGCTGCTGGGGACCAATATTTTCCACGAAACAGTGACTAAACCGTTTGGCAAAGATGTGGAAGCTGGCACCCATGGACTTCAAGCAACATAACCACTTAAATCAGTTTAAGTTGTTATAAAGCCTGCAATGTTCATTTAACTTTAAAAACACATTCTAAACATTATAATCTCTACAGCTCAATCTCCTGGGTGGATTAACCCTGTGAACTCATCTTTTCTTTAAAAGCTAATTCATTCGATTGTATTTATATATAGGTACATTCCAGAAATTAATCATTGAATTAGTTATGTGTGAATGGAGAGGATATCTTTACATATCTCCTTCCAAAAAGTCTATTTGTAGGGAAAGAATTTTACAGATTTGCAGTGTGTTTGCAGACTGTAAAACTATTTTTTTTTTTTTACCGGTTTTGAACTTTGACTCCATTTTACTTGTTTAATCATCCTCTGTGTGTTGAGAAGTAAAGTGTATTTACCAAGCTGATTCACCGAATGATTCCAAGATTCAAATTACTCAGTATTTATGATTTATACCGTGGCAGGTGAGAAGCACTCTGCAAGCTTAAAGGAACACTATAGCATTAAGAATACAAACCTGTATTCCTAATGCTATCGTGCTGTAGTCCCTAATTAGATTTACCCTCTGCAAACACAGTATGTTGGATAATAAAAACATGAAGGATCAGAGGTACATTTGAAAAGAAGAAAACACTGCATATGTCCTTCTGGGCTAAATTATTATTATATCTATTATTACATTTTATTATTATGCTCTGTACGCATATACAATACAAAGGATTTACTATTTGTTTAAACCCTTTACTCCCATTACAAATTTACATAAGGTGCACATTTGCACTTATAGAGCTAGGAATAACTTGCAACGATAACATGGCATGAAGGAACAAATAGGCATTCTTGTACACTGTAGATGAGATTCTGCTCTTGTGAACTTAGTGCATCATTGAGAGATTACCAGGACGCTTGAGAATTTTTAATTTGCCCAGGAGCTTCTTCTATGGGGCAATGATGGGACTGCCCAACAATTTGTGTTTTGAAAATAGGAGGTGAGAGAGCTGAGCAGGAGGTGGAAGGAGCTACAGCTGTGAGAGATGAGCAGGAAGTGGCAGGAGCTACAGTTATCTTACCTAGATAGAACCCAGCTGTCGAGTTTATGAAAGTAACCTGCACGTTTCCCATTATTGTTAAACTTTTATACACCACATCTCAATTTCATCCCTCTAACCTATATCATGATTTGACACATACTTTTCAAAACTCGAGGAAACTATCATAATCCAGGGTGACATGCAGCTAGCAATGCCCAATCACAAAGGCTGGGAAATGGCAATTTATGTCTGCAATAGACCGTTCTAAATAGTATGCAGAGACAGCTGGCTGAAGACAGGAGCATATGGCTTAAGCAGAGGTTCATCGTCATCTGCTGTCTTGGACCTAGAAATAACAGACAAGAGTTTATATTCTAACCCAATACAGGCTGCTACTATTATCAGAACTGGCTGCAATACAGAATTAAATGACTATTTATTCATTAACTAATCCAAAATAATTAATTATTAGATTAAAAATTGTGGTTTATGCATTTTGACATTAGAATTAATGACTAGGGTTTTTGGGTGACAATTGAAATGATTAGTGATTGCGATGATGTGAGAATTGATGCAGATCATGCAGGTGGTCTCATTACTAAAAATGGGGGAAATAAACTCTGACTTTGAATCGTCAGTCAGTGATATATGTATATGGCACATTTGGCATATATTGGAATTCTTACTACAAGCTTGGCCTAACTGCTTGTCTTCAGTGCTTAAGTTCACTAATAGCAACATGGAAACTAGTAAACACCCGCTGAAATGTTTTAACATCTACTGGAAATACTTCCTTTGCAGACTTAAGGCTATTATAGCAGTACACAGAGAGCTATTAAGTATTAGAGATCTTCGACAAGCAGGTGTCCACATATTATTGATCATGTATTGTAACACTTTATGATATACTGAAAACACTTTCTCTAAGAGCCTCGTTTGCATCCTTTAGTCTAGGTTTTCTGTTTTTATTTTGTTCCACCTTTATATTTTCTTTATTTAAAATTCCAAAAAGTATTCACCCACTGCCTGATTTCCAGTATTTTTGGACATATGTCATTTTACGTGGTTTTAGATCTTCAGAAAAATGCAACGTATGACAAACACAAAATCCCCCCCCCCAAATTTTTTTCTCCAATCCTTTTCCAAACAATATATTTTTATGTTAACAATGCCCTATTTTAATATAATTACGGCCCTGCACCCAAACCCTGCAAAAAGATAAAAAAAAACACAAAACCTTACCTGACATGCATCGCCAGGCGATGCTCGTAACACTGATCTTCACTCCCCTTCCCAACGTCAGCTCTGCAGTCATATCACAGGCTTCTCCGAGAAAAGGGAGGTACATTTTATTTAAAAAAATAAGTAAAAATTATTCATCTAGCAGTGGGAGGCAGGAGGGAGCAACTACAGGGATGAAGTAAGGGGAAAACTAGATCCTGTAGGGGGAACATTTTTACATCTGTGGCCAGCATGCTGTGTGTTTATGACAGATGTAAAATATGCACAAAATTGACATTAGTCAGCCTGAAACAGAGTTCTGCGCTCCCTAAGTCACGTAAACCTTGGGTGCAGCTAGCCCCCAGCACACCATGGGAAATAACGCTGGATGTGCGGTGTATCAGGCAGGATCCTACCACCATGACCACTTTAAATCACTGAAGTGGTCATGGTGGTTGGAGTAACCCTTTAACGAAAAAGTTACTCAACACTAGATGGCTCTATGTGAAAAAGTAAATGGCTCCTTGGGTACTCAATCACCATCTTGCAGCATTTGGCTTAACTGCACCTGAATGGAGATACAACTGATTTCTCTCCTATATTACTCTAGAAAAGCACCAGATTTACTTGCTAATTGACAGATCACAACAACTACGCCCCACGAGCTGTAGTTGCTGGGGAAGGGGACTAAAGAACAGCATGCAGAAATTTTTCCTACTCTCCCATGTCACTCAAGTATAAGATATAGGGCTCAATTTAAAATCCTGGTTCTTTCTTACAAATCTCAACATAACACTGCTCCAACCTACCCATCCTACCTCTGTCCGTACTATTACCTCTGATGCTCACCTTCAAGACTTGTCCAGGGATACACTGTTCCTGTGGAACTCCCTTCCCTGCTCCGTTAGACTATCACTCAGTCTCCATTCCTTCAAAAAATCTTTGAAAATGCTCTGCTTCAGGAAAGAGTATTAATTAAACTTTTTACAGTTTTTCATCTCTGCACCCTGATTCCTCTGCTGCAATTGTCAAAAATAACCTACTAAGCCCTCAGTGAATACTTTTATAGCAACTTCTTTTCTACCCTAGCCTTACCCTTTGTGTCACTATACCCCACTACCTCTTGCATGTAAGCTCATTGAGCAGGGCCCTCAACCCCTCTGTTACTGTGCGTTCTACTCATCTGGTTACAAATACGTGTCTGTCAGTCCACCTATTATACAGCACTACAGAATTTGTTGGTGCATTATAAATAATAATAATATGCTTAAATGTAATTGACAAGTTAGTGGGGGAACTATATCCTTATACAACATTATTGTAACGGAGCTCCTAGTACTCCAACCGAGTACCTCCGTTGATGGATGCTCTTAGTGCTTCCCGACTCCAAGTATTCCACTTGACACCATCAGTACTGCAGACCGAACCTCTCTTCCTGCAGAGAGCGAAGCTGGAACAAGCTCTTAAAAGAGCTTGGTGATTATAGCTAGGGGAGTATGTAGAGTATAGCAATCCCCCAGTGTAGATGCAGCCTTTTCCTCCAAATCATGAGACGAGGCTCTATGTTGAGGGTCAAAACAGGAACAGAATAACATCGCCAGAGGGTTAAAGTTTAGCACGAGCTGATGAGAGGTTGAGGAGGGACAAAGCAGCCAGCTTAATTTAAAGGGCCAGAACAGTCTTTTAAACACCAATAAGTCCAAATAGTGTTTTTAAAGGGCCATACACCCCAGGGCCATAATCATGGGGAAGGAGGCTGGCAATCAGGCTTCTCCATAAGCCAGGGGAACAGGGTAGTTTGTCACATGAAAAAACAGTGACAAAAGGCCTTTTGCCACAATTATAATTTCCACTAGGACTTCCACAATGTAAAGATGAAATTTAATCTAATATAAGCAGTATTACAACAGTATGTAAAGATGCAACTTGTGAAAAATAAAGAAATTAAAGTTTTTTTAAAAATTTAAATAATTTAATATAAGCATGTGTCTACCATGGGGTACTTAAAGGATCATTGTGCACTAAAAACAACACATGCAATACATACATATAGATGTATATATTTGTTGTATTTAAGTCTCTTCTTGTGACATGAAAGTGGTCCCCAACCTTTACTGAATCCAAACACAATCCTATTCATTACACCCACAGCAGGCTGGAAAAATATGCTGATTCATTAAGCCTTGAACAGTGAGAGTTTCTTGGCTGAATAATTGAAAAAAAACATTCAATTGAAAAGTACATTCCTAAGGAGGGAAGAAAAATGGCAAAATCACAAACATGCCTCATATGATTAAACCAGAGTTAAAGAAACTCTATATTGTTAGGAATACAAAGCTGTACTTCTTACACTATAGTCTCCCTCTGCACTGTGCCCTGGTAAACTTCTCCCCCTGCCTGCTGGCAAATAAATTATTTAAAACACTTTTTTTCACTTACCTTATTCCAGAGCCGAGGTCGGGCTACTCCTCCTTCAATGTCACCACGATAGAGGAATATAATCTGCATCCGTTGTGAGTGCCGTGGTTGCATTAGGCTTTCTTTATAGAAAATAAAAACAAATAGTAGTAAGAGAGGTGAGAACGGACAACAGCTCAATTAGCCGTTAGTTCCCTCTGCACGAGAGATACGGCAACCCCAGACGATTGTTTTAACCTTGTAAGGTATCATCAGTGAGGTATAGTGAGGTATAGTCAATATCCCTCTTGAGCATGGGGTCCACGTCTGGATTGCCCTTTAAGCTTAAGGAGAGAAAAACAAGTAGCAAGAGACAACAGCTCAATTAGCCTGCCCTTTGGAGTCCCCTCTCAGATCTCAAGCTGGTTTTAGCTCATCTAGTGCCATTACAGAGAGAACATATCTGAAGCATATCAGACTGGTCCCACCCTTACGGGCAGTCCAAATCTGAAATGCCAGCAAGTGCCCTCTGTACGAGAGATACGGCAACCCAGACGATCGTTTCAACCTTGTAAAGTATCATCAGTGCGGTATTGACAATATCCTCATAGTGCCTAGGCAATAATTACCTTGCAGGGTTAAGTCCGACAGCAAATAGAGGGACTTCTGTCTAAACGATGCTGGACGTCCTCACGCTCTGCATGAGGACATCCAGCGTCGCCGGAATCCAATGGGAAGTCTAATGCGCGCACACGACCATCTGGATTCAGATGAGTGACTGAAGGGAGGTGGGCACTGCAGGATTTTGCAGTGCCAGGAAAACGGGTTTGTTTTCCTGGCACTAGAGAATCCCTTTAAACTCTGTGTGAATTGAGAAAGCATCTTCAAGACAGCCACTAGAGGCAGTCTGAACCCTGCAATGTAAACATTGCAGTTTCTCTAAACCTGTAATGTTTTATATTGCAGTGTTAAGGGGACAGGGACACTGTACCAAGACCACTTCAATGGTGCAGTGTCCCTGTCCCCTTAACACTGAAGTGGTCTGGGTGCCTAATAGTGTGTTTTAAGTTACTCATTCCCAGACATTTCAAGCATGTTCCATTAGTTAAACACACTTTAAGAATGCTTAATTTTATTTTGTATTCTGCACTTGTTGTCTCATACATTGAACCTTCTTTGCTAAAGTTCTATTTGCTTTGCATTTGGTAAACTATTAATTCACATTCAAATTTTATTTGGGTAATGCTGCAATAAGCTGCAAAAATTGCTTGTATGTGAATAATACATTAAAGTTGTGTGTAAATTCAAAACGAGCAGGGAACATGAAATCTGACTTCTAATGACAAAGTTCTGGATTGCTATTTTTAGATTATTGTTGCATACATGCTTACATACAGTAGATATAAATTGACTAACAGCTAGTATGGATCCCTCTATGGGAACAATAATATGGACTCGATTGTGTTTTGTTAAATATAAGGTTTTTTGTTTATTAACTAAAAAATAAATATAGAATAGCACAGTGCATGGGGGCACTAAAGGAAGAACGTTGTGTTCCTCAAAGAGTCTTGGGTGATTCCAAAATAAACCAAGTGCTGTGCAATATTCAGAGCTTGCTATATGTTTGTGTAGTAATATCTTACTTGTATCATATGGTAATGTTTGTTGTATTTTTTTCCCAGAGCGTGGTGAAGCTGATGCGAGGGATTTTGCACTGCATGCTGAGACAGGTAACAGTTTATCCTGTATATATCCAATTTCACAAATAAATAGTAATTCTTTCAAATATAAATGTAGAAATCTATATAATTACATTTTCTAAATTATAAACTGCCATAGTGCTTTCTGCATGAAAAAAAGAATCCGTTATAGGGAGCACCATCACCAATTAAAAAAAAGTTTTATTTTATTTCATACATTGCTTTTAGATCCTTTATACAAAAAGAAAGAGTGTTATCCAGCAATTAATAGAGAAACTATTATAACACTACAGTCCAATTCTAATATTAAAGGGACACTATAGTCACCCAGTCCACTTCAGCTCAATGAAGTGGTCTGGATGCCAGGTCCCTCAGGTTTTAACCCTTCACATGTAAATATAACAGTTTCAGAGAAACTGATATGTTTTACATTTGGGGTTAAGCCAACCTCTAGTGGCTGTCTTCCGGACAGCCGCTAGAGGCGCATCTGCGAAGCTGGAGGCGAATTTCTCCTCCATCGCGCAGAGCGTCCATAGGAAAGCATTAAGAAATGCTTTCCTATGGACACTTTGAATGTGTGCGCGGCACTTGCTGCTCATGCGCATTCGGCTCCAGTGATGTCGGACGGGGGAGCTGACATCAGTGGGGGAGGAGAGGTCACCAGCGCCGAGGGAGCCCGGTGCTGGATTAAGGTAAATGGCTGAAGGGATTTTAACCCCTTCAGCGCCACGGGAGGGGGACCCTGAGGATGGGGGCACCCTTAGGGCACTATAGTGTCAGGAAAACCGCTTTGTTTTCCTGACACTATAGTAATCCTTTAAAAAAATAATGTAACAATATTCACAAAATAACATTATTTTAGATAAAAGATATTACGGGAATGCCAATACACTTATACCTAAGGAAAACATTCATCACTAATGTGCCATATTTCATGTATGGCTCAGTTCAGTTTAACTTTTGCTTTGTGACACTCTGTAGGTAGAGAAGGATTTAGATCCCATGGGGCCCTAGAGAGTTTACTAGTGTGCGGGCTTCTTCATTGTTCTAGAGCCCCTGTTTAACTCCAGTGCCCAGTGGGTGGGCACCTACTGTCACCTTCTGATTAATCCTGCTCTGTCTGTAGGTACCCTTCAAAATGCAAAATAAATGGCAGAACCCTTAGTGAAGTGAGAGTAAATAGAAAATATTTCTGGAATACAAAATATTGATGAAAAATAAATTACTACTTTATGAACCTGCAAATAAAAATTTGAACTCTACAATGCACACATATAACATGAATGAAATTGTTTCTCTACATGAAAAAAAAAGTATCTACTGCAGACTTCACTCACCTGTTGCAAATTAAAATAAATGGTCTATCACTTGCCTTGACCCCAACACAATTTCCAAAAATCCCTCAAGTTATATTTTATAAATAAGATAAATTGTACAGTTTTCTTTGCTGTTGATCGTGTCATTCTTTGTGTTCGTTAGGTGGATAAAGTGGAAAAGTTCAAACACACACAAAGTACAAAAGATTGTCTGCATGCCAAGTATAACACAGCAACGTGTAGTACTATAGTCGGGGACGACCAATGGGGTCATCTACAGGTGGATGCTACCTCCCTCTTCCTGCTCTGCCTGGCTCAGATGACGGCTGCAGGTAAAAGCCAAATATTAGGTTTCAGCTTGTAGCCCCCATGCTAGGTACAATATTGTGTTGGGTTGGCATTTTTTGATTGCAGTTTTAAACTTACTCACCTGTGAACTTAGCCACCAAGTGGTGATTCTAATTACTTGCTGCACATTCTTAGTCAACACATTTGAGTTTAATATGTTTACCAGTTCAATATTTATGAAAATGATACACAATGCACATGGCTCCATTGTCAAGCATTAGTATAAAAAAAAACAGTTGGAGTGATTTAGCATTTTTCCTCTTTGCTTATTGAATGTATTTATTTTAATATCCATCCTTTCAATGTAGTCTGAATGGTTCTGATATGTTTTAAGACAGATGTTTTAGCACGGACATTTGAACATTTTTTTTTTATTATTAACTAACCCTGACATAACTAACCCTGACTGTTAACCCTAACCTCTTTCCCTAATGTCTAACCCTTACCTGATGCATCCTAATTTCATAATTAATTCCAACAGTTCTCATTGCTTATACCTATCCTTGACCACCAAGCTAGTAACCGGTGACATAAACCTCCAGCCTAACCATCTAACCAATAGATAACCTTAAACCATGTGTAGAAATTGTGCTTGTTTTTTACAAATCTGATTATTCTTGGGAGTATTCAAATATTATTCAGAGTAAATCAACCTCACAAAAATGACAACACAAGCTTGATCTCCAGCATTAATGTAGTCTTCATAACATTAATAGCTCATGAATGAATCTGTGAAAGTGGGGATCAGAGAGGCAAAATCAAAAAGGTACACAAACCAAGCACCATTAACTTTAAATATTACAAGAATCCCTCTAATTAGCCATATTTACCTCACCAGCTTGGATAAAATTGAGAAAGACTGGGCAAGTTCTTATTTTTGTTCCATAGCTTACAAGTATATCCTGCCCCAGATTTGATTTGATTGTTTTCCATGCATTGTGGCATATCTGTAATTGTGAACATTATCTTAAAAATATTAATTTTATTGACAAACATTTTTTGAAATATGAATTAGTCTCTCAAATAGTGTTGTCGTAGAGATTGTAGCTGTATTAATCTAGTAATGCAAAGTAAAATAACAGATTAAATTATTACAATAGATAATCGATACTAATTTCATCTACAAAATAACTTGTGATTTGCTGGTCTTGCATATAGGTAAATATTTGCATAGAGACAGAAATTGCATTATTTGCCTCTTTTCTTTACTGTAACACGATTTTCTATTGTTAACTTGGTGCAGCTCGTCCATCAGTTCTGTGGGCAATTGTGTAGTTTATTGTCAAGTATTTCTCTGCAGAAAACTTTCCCTGTGTCATGAATCCTTCAGAGCTAGTTACATTTAACATGACAGCACAGAGAATTATGGCTTTTATTGCTTGGAGTGTAGAGACTCCCATGCACAGTTTCTGCAGGGAAACAATGACTGATCCTACTTTATCTGTAAACGGAACTGACCCTAAAATGCTATAAAATGAATCAGTAGAATGTTTAATCCCACAGATATTATGTGACGAGCCACAGGATAATCTCAAACTAAGACCTGGATTCCATTCTGTCCGCAAGACCCAGTCGTAAATTCACTGATTTCAGCTGATATTTTTATTGAATTTTGACTGGATTTTACTCCACTCAAAATTCTTGCAGCTGAACATGATAAATGGGTCAACTGTTCTAAAAAAAAAAAAAAAAAATGCAACAAATATGCTGATTAACCCTGTTTGTCATTAAACAAGAAATTGAATAAAACACTAATACAAGGGAAGCATTAAACCACCCCCATGAGCCCACTCGCCGTGCTGGGAATAGGGGCATGTCCACTAAACAGATAGCAACCAGTGGTTTATTTCACGGACTGGGCAGAGGGGGACATTAGGTCAGCCCTGGTTTATTAATATTAGTGTCCCCCATCCACCACACACGGGTGTGAGCTGGGCATTACATTAGGTACACATTTAATAATCCCCATCTGCCATGGGTGGGTCAGGTTAAGAATTATTAAAATCAGAGACATCCAGGGGGCTGGGATTTGATAATATCTCTCCCCTTTATTTTAATTAGAACACTACCTGGTGACTGTGGGTGTGGGGGCAGGCACTAGGATTCCCCCGTGCCCTTTTTATATACTAGCCCCCACTCGCTAGCTATGGGTGGGAGTACGGGAATGGACAGTGATCTGTCCCCCCCACATTTTTTACATTGAATCCTCCACCCAATGCCCATGGATAAAAAGACGGGGAAGCAGGTAGGGACATGTGCCCCGTTCTTTCCTGTATGTTGTTTTTATTATTTATAAAGTGCCAGCAAGTTTCAAAGCACTGTACTATAGGTGGACTAACAGAGAAGTATTTGCAACAAGACAATTTGAATGTACAGGAACAAAGGGTGTTGAGGGCCCTGCTCAAACAATCTTACATTCTAGGCATGTTATTAGTAACTACTAGGCAGCAATAACTGCCTGGTCGCTAGTATTTTATGACCATACAAAAGTAACAATGTAAAATGTCCTTGCATTAAAAACATTGAAGGGTTGATTCAGGCTTATTCTTCAGCCTTATGTAATGGTATAAGCTAATTCTACACCGTTGATAATTATTTTGAAAATGAGTTTGTTTTTTGCTTCGTGTGTTTTGCACATTGGAGCATGTCACTTGAACGTCTGTTTACTAAACCAAAAATTGTTGAATTGCAGAGTTTACTCCATTAAAATTAATCCATTGGCTATTATTGCGTAAACTTGCAAGTTCCTCACATCTGCGAGTTTAGACCATAAAGCTCATTGTGTCTGTCGTCGTAAAGAAACACACGTTAAAATTTGTAGAAGAAATGTATCAAGTTCTGTGCTACCTAAGATAATAACCATGGATTTTATTTTACATTCTTCAGGACTCCGTATTGTGTTTACTCTGGATGAAGTGTCCTTCATACAGAACCTTGTATTTTATATTGAAGCTGCTTATAAAGTTGCTGTAAGTATATCATCCCAAATGTGTATATTCACATAAAAAGAATACAAAGGTCAGCAGTTGAAACAGAAGAAATGTACAAAATGTCCTTGAAAATTTCAAAAACTTCATGTATCGGCTCAGATTTTTTACACCAACAGATATCTACACATCTGCATTCACTTCTGTACTTTGACCAATCTCTTCATTTTCATTAAGTATGTATTGAAACTCTGTAACTACTAGCAATGTTGCAAATGTATATCTCCTAAATGTAATATGCATACCATCATTTCATAATGATACAGAGATTAAAGAGGTAAATTACTTGTACATACCTTTTACTGAAATTCAAGAAATAGCATGACATTCAAAATGTTTCATCTTAAAGGCTCCACCAGCCAAAAACAAATGAAAATATTTCAAAAACACTATTTAGTAACTATACCCCAAATGAAAACATGCATACATTTTAATTATGCATTTTGTTATTGGAGGTATATTTAAAAATAGCTTCCAGAAAGCCTTTTTTGTGGGTAGTGGTACTTTAAATATCACTATAACCTTATGATCTCCCTTCCACAAGCGATTTTCTGCTGAGGAATTCTGAATTTATTTCCAGACAAAAAATGTAATGGAAAATATTGTGTTGCAGCATCATATACAGGGTGACATGAAGTCCCCACATTGATATTGCTGTAACAAACTAGCATCTGTTACACGATCATAGCACATACCCTGACCAACTTACTGGATCAGTCTTTTAATACTTTACAAGGTGGCCCAATTCTTATAGTATAATTGTTGATTATCTAAAAGGAATTTAAGGGGCACTATAGTGTCAGGAACACAAACGTGTAATCCTGACAGTATAGTTCTAAAACCACCCTTTAGGTGGTTGGCCACCCTTACCTCTGGTGAGAAAGGTGATTTACTCACCTTTTTCCAGCGCCGTGTGGGGCTCCTTGCATCTGACCACAGCGCACCCTTTGACTGACATCAACAGAATTGCCATAGGAAAGCATTGGATTGGCTGAGATTGTCAATTCTGATGATCTCAGCCAAGAAGGTGGGGAAGGGGACGCCACCAAATGCTGCCCTGGCCAATAAGGATCTCTTCCTAAAGATGCACTTGAGCACCTCAAGTGGTCTTTTTGAGGAGTGGCCACAAGAGTTGTCTCTAGACTGTAATGTCTCTGAAAAGGCTGTGTTTACATTAAAAAGCCAGCTGTATTTGTTCTGGAGGCTTTAGTGTCCTTTTAAGCTTTTTTTATGAAATTACCTCAAATCAATATCTATTGATATAATCTTATTAAGATAGTGGATCAATGATTTATATTCCTACACAAGATGTAGCCACAAAAGCAATCCACACACATCTAAATGATTAACACAACAAAGCTTACAGTAAAAATTACAATGTTGTAGATTAAAGCATTACAGACAATTCACCTATTGAGGATGATGTACAAATGTACAATACAGTAATGCAGGACCTTTAAATGTACACTACAATACTTGTCTCAGTGATTTCTTTCATATTATGTTTTTCTCAGGATTATGGAATGTGGGAAAGAGGAGACAAAACAAACCAAGGAATTCCAGAACTCAATGCCAGCTCTGTGGGAATGGCCAAAGTGAGAGCACGTTTTATAGTATTAACACTGGGCTTCATTCACTAAACGGTGAATTGTGTTGAATTACAAATTCACTCTAAAATATCCAAGATGTGAGCATGGCCTAAATTTCACAATCCTTCCAATTCAATACAATTCTCAGTTTAGGATATAAACCGTTTATATTTAAAACCTAAAATATCAAGATTCACTGCATGGCAACAGTGGCTCTTGCTTACTTGTGTTATTGTCACATATTATCGGTATCGGACAACATGTTAATATACACCATGCCAAAAATCATATTGATGGTTGTGGAAAACCATAGTAACCACACATACTTATCACTGGTCTATTGACTACGCTTTTCATTTTGATTGATAGATTGATGGCAGTTAACAACCCAGGCACTAAATTCAATAATAAATCCTTCTAAGTATGCAATACTTCCTCTTTATTTCACAAGGTCTGGGATCCGTGGCCTAGTTATAAAGAAAGCCATTAAACATGATCACAGAACGGGGTGTATGCTCCCCAATAGTAACGTATAAACAGGGCCGGCCTTAGGGGTGTGCGAGCTGTGCGACCGCACAGGGCGCCATGGAACAGGGGGCGCCCTGTGGCCGACACAGCTCACTCATGGCCGGAGTGCAGGGGAGCTAAAAGAGGTACCTGGCTGGAGGATTAATTATTCTCCACCCGGGTCTATTTAAAAAAAAAAAAAAAAAATCGCGGCAGAGGGGGCGGGGTTTACCGAGCGGCGGAGGCGGGGCTTATCGAGAGGCGGAGACGGGGCTAATACCTCCCGAAGCCCCTGCTGTACAGGAAGAGGGAAAGATGCTTCCCCATCAGCCAACTGCATCCACTGGAAAGAGGTAAGTGTGTGTGTGTGACTGTTTGCCTGTTTGTGTGACTGTCTGTCTGTGTGTGTGTGTGACTGTCTGTCTGTGTGACTGCCTGCCTGTGTGCGTGTGACTGTCTGTGTGTGTGTGTGACTGTCTGTGTGACTGCCTGTCCTTGTGTGTGTGTGTGTGTGTGACTGTCTCTGTGTGTGACTGCCTGCCTGTGTGTGACTGTCTGTGTGTGTGACTGTCTGTCTGTGACTGCCCATGTATGTGACTGCCCATGTATGTGACTGCCTGTGTGTGTGACTGTCTGTCTGTGTGACTGTCTGTCTGTGTGACTGCCCGTGTGTGTGACTGCCTGTGTGTGTGAGACTGTCTGTCTGTGTGACTGTCTGTGTGTGTGACTGCTGTGTGTGTGTGACTGCCTGTATGTGACTGCCTGCCTGCCTGTGTGTGTCTGTCTGTAACTATCTGTCTGTGTGTGACTGCCTGCCTGTGTGTGTGACTTTCTATCTGTGTGACTGCCTGCCTGTGTGTGTATAACTGTCTATGTGTGTGTTACTGTGTGTCTGTCTGTGTGTGTGACTGCCTATGTGACTGTCTGTCTGTGTGTGTCGCTGTAGCTGTGCCATTGTTTGTGCCTGTGCCTGTATGTGTGACTGCCTTTAACTGAGTGTGTGTGTACATGCCTGTAACCGAGTTTAAATTTCCCCCACCCCTTCCTGTCAAGGCCGCACTTTGACTGACAGACGCTCACTCACTGACAGACGCACACTCACTGACAGACACACACTCTCATATACACTGACAAACAATGACATACACACATACACTATTACTTGGACACACACTGACAGATGCACACTCTCACTGACAGACGCAAGCACTCACTGAAAGATGCACGACTCCACTGACCGACACATACACACTGACTGACACACACTCACTGACCGACACACACTCACTGACCTACACACTCACTGACCTACACACTCACTGACCACACACACTCACTGACGACACATACACACTCACTGACGACACATACACACTCACTGACTGACACATACACACTCACTGACTGACACATATACACTCACTGACTGACACATATACACTCACTGACCAACACACACATTCACTCACAGACACACACACATTCACTTACAGACACACACAATTACACACTTACAGACACACACACACACACACACACACACACACACACACACATTCACTTCAAAATAAACACTCACAGACACACACACAGACATTTCCACTAACACTCACAAACTAATATTTTTTACATTTATTTTAAATCCACCCAGCCTCCCTGGGAAAGCTGGAGTGGATTTCTTACCAGCAGTCCAGTGTGGCTGCTGGGCAGGCAGGCAGGGGGCGCACAGGCTGAGTAAGCAGCGCTTAGTGATGCCGGGAGCCAGACTGACGTCATATTCTGGCTCCCGGCTTCATTAAGCGGCGCAGAGGAAGCTGAGCAGGAAGAGCTCAGGTGAGTATGCTCCTTCGCTGCCCGCTGCCAGCCTTGGGGGGGCTCAAAAGTGGCCAGCCGGTCAGCTCTTGAGCCCCCCAGGATGCGAGGCAAGCAAGGGATCTGCCTGGGGGTTTGGAGGGATGCTTTTTTTTGCCGCCCCCTGCAAAGTGGCGCCCAAGGCAGATGCCTTGTTTGCCTCGTGATACACACGTCCCCGGTGCCTGTGTGTGTTACTGTATTCAGGCAACTTGGTGGGAGGTGGGGGGGGCGCCGTGAAGACTTTTTGCACAGGGCGCCTAATTGCCTAAGGCCGGCCCTGCGTATAAACATCTTTGTAATATATGCAATGTTACAAAGAAAAAAATAATAGCTGCTGTACAATGAATTCAGCTAAACTGTTTTGGTCTAAAAGGTTTCTTCTTCACAATTCATTGTTTTAACACCTTCACTGCCAAGTTCTTTGCACGCAAATGGCCAACATATTTTTTTTTTATTTTTTTTTTCTGGAAAGGAACTACTAATAAATAGCAAATTATATGATGTCAAGTGGCACTATCTTTATTGACCATTGGCTTACAAACAGTAAAACTACTAACTACAAGTTATTCAAATATTGAAAGATGAGTATTCAAGGCATATGGGTACATGCATTTGCCATCTGGGAAGGAGTTAAAAAATAAACTTCTTAGGCATTCTATTATATTGTCTTAGTTTTTATTTTTTTTATTAACTTTGTGACTAGTTCAAAACATTTCCTTATTTTCACATTTCCTTATTTTCATGTGTATTTGAAGGCTGCACTGGAAGCTATAGATGAACTTGACCTGTTCGGAGCCCATGGTGGACCAAAATCCGTAATTCATGTCCTACCTGATGATGTGGAGCATTGTCAAGTAAGTTGAATTTGATTTAATTATATATTTCCTTAGCGACTGAACTATGAATATTATATGCCTTTATATTTTTAATTAAATGAAGCAATTGATCAATAGGTTTACAGCAACATCATCATATCTGACAAGTAAAAAGCGAAAGAGTAACAGACCACAATGCAATTAATGAATAAAATAATGAAATTGTTTTGCAATCATTAAATGTCCTTACCATACAAGATACATCAGTAAATCTGTAAAGTGTTTACTAGCAAATGATAGATGTCACCATGCACAATATTATAGCATATCATTATTAATATTATTTGTAAAGCACCAACCAATTCCACAGCCCATGTAACGGGTAGAGAAAATATAATATAATATAATAAGAAATTGAGACAAATGTTTGTTTTTTTTTAAATTAATTTTTATAAATAATTGCTTAAAGGAACATTCCAAGCACCATAAACACTTCAGCCGTCTGTAGGGGTTATGGTCCTGGAAATGCCTTTGAGCTCCCCTGTTGTAAAGTGTCAAACTCTTTTGAACTATTTGACTTCTTACTAGGGTCTTCTGGGCACTGTTCTCTGCCTCCACTTCCAACGCCGGAGAGCTGGAAGTTCCTAACCTGGAATCCCTAGCCCTGTAAATAATGCTTGGGAACATTGTTGGTTGTTGAGACAGGGAGCAGAACCTGATGGATCCCAGGTCAGAAGTCAAACTTTTTATAAACAGTTTGACTCACTCCTTACAATGGGGGACGCAAAGACACTCCCAGCACTATAGCCACTAAAGCTAGCTGTAGTGATTATGGTGATTGAAATGTTTATTTAATCTTTTTTATGTGAGGTTCTTCATTTTAATAAATTGCTGTGTACTTTTCCCTACTCCTATTTTAATAAGATTTTCTGATGGGAGGGATGGTAAGTCTGTTGCAGAATGTACTTCTTTATTTGCATGGGTTAAGAATCTAAACATGAAATGTTAAATATAAACTATGTGTTTTAAAGTTAAAGTAGATGTAAAAAACAGATAAAATGCGTATCTTGTAATACCTTTTTTATTGGACTAACAGAATTTTTTAATGACATGCTTTCGGAAGAACCTCCCTTTCTCAAGTCTGAGCAGGATGACACATAGAATTCAAAGTTGAGTTGTGATACAGGGGTTAAAGCAAAATGAGTGTAGATAAGACACAGGTTTGTTAGAAAATAGACACAATTTTTGCAGAGGGTCCTAAATATCTTTCTGAAGAGCAGAGTGAGGGGGGAGAGAGGGAGAAGAAAAACAAACAAGCAGAAAGAGCAGAAGATGGTGCACTTTATACATACACACACACACACACATAAATATGTATATGTGAATGCACAAACACATGTACATATACATAAACACATATACATACATGTACATGAACTAATATACACAAATATAAATGCACAGTTATATATGTAAGCATACATGCATATTACTTTTATATATTGATAGAATAAACATATTGGAATGCGTTTTAAAGTGTTGATACATATGACAGAACACCATCCTTGTAACCATGGATGTGGAATCTCTATACAGCAATATTCCACATACAGATGGCATCAATGCTTGCTTCCATTTTCTCTCTCATGTCAACAACCAAAAATACAGCTACAAATTATCACAGAACTGGCACTATTTATCCTCACACATAACTACTTCAGTTTCAACAATGAGGTTTACCTACAAACCATGGGCACTTCTATGGGCACTAAGATGGCACCCCAATATGCTAATCTGTTTATGGCAGATCTTGAACAGAGATTCCTAGAAATACAACACACCAAACCATACAAATATTATTGCTATATCGATAATATCTTCATAATTTGGACTGAAAGTGAAAAAAAACTGATACAGTTCCATGACTCTTTCAACACATTCCATCCATCAATCAAACTAAAAATGGAATATTCCACTAAATCTGTGAATTTCCTGTACACCACTGTGACATGTAACAATGGCACAATCCACACCTCGGTTTACAGAAAACCCACAGACAGGTGCAGTTACCTACACAGCTCCAGCTTCCACCCCTCCCATACTAAACAGGGCATCGTCTACAGCCAAGCCACTAGGTACAATCGCATATCCTCTGATCCTAATGACCGTAATTCCCATCTAAATGTACTCTCCCAATCTATGAGACAGAAAGGCTACAAACCAAAGACTATTACCAAACAAATCAACTCTGCTGTAAAAACTCCACGCATGCGCCTGCTACAGTACAGAGAGAAAAAAATATCTACACGAGTGCCACAACCAATATTAACAGAAGATGAGACTCTGAAAAACATTTTCCCTGAAACACCCATTTTGGCCTTCAGACAACCACCAAACCTCCAACAAAAATTAATCAACAGGAAGCTGCCCACTGATGGTAAGAATTAAGAAAATGGTACCAGTCAATGCAAAATACCTCGCTGCAAACTGTGTCAACACATATGCACAGACAACACAGCTACACACAACAATAAAACCTACAGCATTAAAGGTTCACACTCCCGCACATCCAGCAATGTGGTATACATGATTCAATGCACCAAATGCCACCTAGGATGCTACATTGGGGAAACCACCCAGCCATTAAATGGTAGAATGAATATGCACAGACACTCTATTAAACACCACAAAGAAGAATCCTACTGCACTCCTGTGGGACACCACTTTACCCAGCCTGGCCACTCACTGAAGGACCTAAAAATCAAAGTACTGAAAGGGGTTTTTAAAAATACCCAGGAAAGAAAAACTTTTGAAGCCAGAATGATTAAATGGTTTAACAGCAAGAATAGAGGACTAAATATTGATTTGGGTTTCCTGTCCCACTACCAACACTTTACATGAACACTCCCCCACATTATCTTACTGTCTTGTCATATGTATTTAAAACACATTCTAATATGTTTATTCTATCAATATACAAAGTACTATGTGTAGACCTATGCTTTCCCATACTCTTATGCATGTATGCTTATATATATATGACTGTGCATTTATATTTGTGTATATTAGTTCATGAACATGTATGTATATGTGTTTATGTATGTGTATATGTACATGTTTGTGCGTTCACATATACATATTTATGTGAGTGTACATGTATAAAGTGCACCATCTTCTGCACTGTCTGCTTGTTTGTTTTTCTTCTCCCTCTCTCCCCTCTCACTCTGCTCTTCAGAAAGATATTTACGACCCTCTGCAAAAATGGTGTCTATTTTCTAACAAACCTGTGTCTTATCTACACTCATGTCGCTTTAACCCCTGTATCACAACTCAACTTTGAATTCTATGTGTCGTCTTGCTCAGAAATGCTTTAGACTTGAGAAAGGGAGGTTCTCCCGAAAGCTTGTCATTCAAAAATTCTGTTAGTCCAATAAAAATGTATTACAAGATACAAATTTTATCTGTTTTTTACATCTACATCACTGGACTAATACGGCTACACTCTCTACTTAAAGTTATAGTATCTGGACTTTGTGCTTGTTGTTTTATAGTCTATCCTTTACTCCATGCTGCCACGAGCTTCCACTTCAAAGGAGATTGATGCTGGTCTCCTCTCCATCATTTCATATCCAGCATTTGCCGTAGAAGATATGGCCCTGGTCAATGTTACCAAGAATGAAATCATCACAAAGCTTCAAGTAAGATTCAATTTAATCTTCACATATTCTTCATTATTTACTTTACATTGGTACAGATTTTATATATTCTTTCAATTAGTTTAATTTTACTTATAATGATGCCTAATCAATCATATCACTTCCAAATCAGGGTTAGCCTTTACATTGTGTGAATAGTTTAATAACTACAAGTGATCAGTTCAGGTTTAAGAGGCCTAGTTAGCCTGCACATCAGAGATTTCTATAAAGTGGTATGTGCATCTGTTAGTGTTCTTTAATTTATATCTACGTATGTGAGATCTTCTGCTTTACCCTCCTCGTCTTTCCACCCACAGTTAGAGTATGATACTGTGTAAGTAACATTATAAAGAATGCAGAATCTATGTCTACTCTAGAAACTGAGATGCATCATGCTGAGAACACCGAATGCCAGCCTTGGCACGATTTTACAAATCCACGCTTCTGAATTCTCCATAACTTATTTTAGCATGGCTCTTTATATAATTTTGCTGATTTTTTTTTTTTGTCTTCTTTTTAATTTAGGGGAAATATGGCTGCTGCCGTTTTCTCAGAGATGGTTATAAAACACCAAGAGAGGTAAAAACAACAATCATTAATTACCATTATAATTTGTGACATACCAAATATATTAAAAAAATAGAGATCACTGTGTGCTTAGCCATTGTGATATATCCATACATCAATATTGGCATAAAAGATGCATTTTATTCCCGTTTAAAAAAAAATAAAAATGTTTTGCTTTGTTTTTTTTTAATTCAACATTTTATTGATGTGTGTAGTTTATACATGCATAAAGGTTTTTAATGAGAAGAGACTACATGGACTGCACATCTATGCATGTTTTTAAAAATATGCAACTGAATTATGTTCTAGGATCCAAACCGATTGCACTACGACTCCACAGAGCTCAAATTATTTGAGAATATAGAATGTGAGTGGCCAGTGTTCTGGACTTACTTAGTGATTGATGGAGTTTTCAATGGAGACAATGTTCAGGTAATGAGAAAAACCTGGTAGACATGAATTTAATTGTATCTATATAATTTGCATAGTTGCTTATTTATTATGTATATTGTGGTGTATAGAGTTATTAAATATACCTGGGCACATGTTACAGGCCCAGCAAAGTCTGACATGATCGAAAATAATGTCAGATTGCATTATTGATGGGTAAAAACATAACCGTGCTTTTTCCTATAATAAATTAGTAACTTATTGAGTTACTGTGTTGGAAGAGAAAGTTGAACACAATTAAAAGAACTTAAAATAATACACCATTACCCAAATATTGTAGAGTAGTGAGGTATAAACATTGCAACTGTCTGTTTGGTGTGAATTATATAGTACATAATCAAAACTCAAAGTTTCTACTTGCCAGTAGCCATTGGCAAGTGAAAGTTTAGCCCTTGTCAGTGGTAAATTCACATTATGTTTGCATAAACATTTCAAATGATTTTTAAAAAAAAATATATTAAAATATAAAAAATAAAAATAAAATATCATATCACTCCTGAGACCATAACTACTATGGTGCGCTGCAGTGGTTATTGTGCATGGGGTGTTCCTTTAACACTAGAGAATGGCAGACCTATCCAGATAACAGCACCCAAACATTTTAACCAAGGTACATTTCTGATAAAGCATTGAATTGCTGTAGCATGGGTAGACAACCTTCATGCACTACAGATGTAGTCCACAATATCTGGGGTGCTGAAGGTTGCCTGCCCCACTGTTAGAGGATGTCTCTATCTTGTGATTATATTACTAATTCTGGTATGTAAACTAATCACCCTTTCAGTTTCTATGTGTAATGTTTTGTCCTATATTAAATTAACAGGCTTTTGTCAATCAATGTTATGCTTTATTTTTTTATTCTTCTCTTCAATAAATGTGCTTTTTGTATTTAATTATGTAGTAGTCCGCAACATATCTTCTTACCTAAATTCTCTATGTGGGCAAGTTGCCACGTTTTACCATTAAATTGTGAATAGATGAGTTAAGGATAATACACCAAGGCCTTGATGTAATAAGCTTTGTAAATGATTCAATACTGTTAACAAAACGTTCCAAATATTATATCTACAACAATTCCCAGTTATTCGATTTTAATGGTGTCTTCTGTAGATTAATCAGTAGGAATGTTTTTCTAATAGTATTGAATTATTTGTAAAGCTTACTAAAAAAATCAAGGCCCATGTAAGGAAATGCTATCTTATTAAATATTTGTGTTTCGTGCCTAAGGTGCAAGAATACAGGGAGGCTTTGGAAGGAATAGTTATTAGAGGAAAGAATGGCATTCACCTTATTCCAGAACTGTATGCTGTCCCATTTAACAAGGTAATACACCTGTTAGACAAATATGAATAATGTATTTCTGTGCTTTAGTATAATGTATATTATACAGTGTCATTGTTTTTTTTTTATATTCTTTATTTTTATTGTGCAATTAAGTACAAATAGGCTTGTGATGACAGCATGTACAAGCCTGGAAGTTACTTACGTGTGAATACATTGCCTTGGCAGGAGATAAATGTACATTTTTAAGATAATAGTGAATTTAAAGGACCACTATAGTGCCAGGAAAACATACTCGTTTTCCTGGCACTCTAGTGCCCTGAGGGTGCCCCCACCCTCAGGGTCCCCCTCCCGCCGGGCTCTGGGGTGAGGGAGGGGTTAAACTTACCTCTTTCTCCAGCGCCGGGCTGGGAGCTCTCCTCCTCCTCTCCACCTCATCTCCTCCTCTTCGGCTGAATGCGCATGCGCGGCAGGAGCTGCGCGCGCATTCAGCCAGTCCATAGGAAAGCATTCACAATGCTTTCCTATGGACGCTGGCGTCTTCTCACTGTGAAAATCACAGTGAGAAGCGCAGAAGCCCTCTAGCTGCTGTCAATGAGACAGCCACTAGAGGCTGGATTAACCCATTTATAAACATAGCAGTTTCTCTGAAACTGCTATGTTTACAGCAGGCAGAGTTAATCCTAGCTGGACCAGGCACCCAGACCACCTCATTAAGCTGAAGTGATCTGGGTGCCTATAGTGGCCCTTTAATATCAAGCAAAAACAGCCTAGACTAACTTGTCTGTATGGAGATCAGGTGCTGTTCGTGTTAACAAAGAAAGCTAGTTAGTCATGGATATCGTATGAGAGTAAGCATATAGATGTTAATACGAAGACCTAAAACAATATTGTGTAGACTAAATGAAAATAATTAGTTGCTTTAATTCAGACTGAACATGCTGGGCTATAAGGTAGACAGAGTAAACTTGCATATGATTTTCTATCTAGTCATAAAGATTGTCATGTGGATAGCATCAGACATATTGTTCAAAAAGGAACCACTGTTTTTAGGTCACTGTAACATTACCTCAGGAGCCTCACCATAAACAAGAATGTATTTAGAGTATACAGATGATTATAAAATTAAAGCTGATAACTACTATTGAACTGAGCCAGATTAAAGTAAATAGAATTTGGGTAGTAAGGGCTATATGTAATTGAGAGTCCGAAGTCAACCTATTCCCTCACTCAGAGGAAGCATGCTGAAGGTCGGGAGTACATTGATGAGGTCGACTGCGCTGTGGTGAGGTCTGGCAGCCCTGTTGCCCCAGGCCAAAAGAAAGACTGGCATCCTTGTTCCGCGGAATAGTGGAGACCGGGATGACCCCACGGGACACCACAGGATCTCAGCGGGGATGTAATGCCAAGCAGGACAGGAGAACGGCCGCCTCTCCCGCTTGGTGCACTCACTAGTGACACTGTTATTTCTTTTGAGTAGACCACTCTTCATTTTCCAGATAAAATAAGTCTTATGTTGAATTTTGTAATATTAGGTTTATTTTACTGGCCATATACTCCCAATCTCAGTTTTTTAATGATTTAGTTGTTTTAATTAGCTGGTCAGTATGCTTAGTAATATGCTTAACAGAAATGACAATACATATATTTAGCTTAGAATGCTGCCAAACATAGGTTTTGTAATGATTTGCCGTTCTTTGCTTTGCTCTCAGATTGATGAAGAATATCACAGCCCACATACGGTTGACCGTGTTTCTTTGGGAAAGACACCACATATGTGGGGACAGTCTCTCTACATCCTGGGATCACTTTTAGCTGAGGTAATATCTGTAAGCCATTATAAGTGAGCTATGTAATTATTTATGGAACAAACATGGAACTATGGCTAACATGTCTATGGAAATGCCTGAATTTGAAGGACAGGAAGTAAGCTTTAATATTAATAAGCCCACGTGTACATTATTGTGAAATTGCCTACATGTGTGGCATAGGCTGCAAACTATAGTTAAACCCTCAGGTATCAACTGCGCATTATTTTTCCCAAGTGACTTGGTAGCAGCTTTTAAAAAAACAACTGTCAGAGAATTTTCTGAGTTGTCAGTTTTACATTTAATTAAACTTAAAAGGACTCTATAGTCACCAGAACCACAACCGCTTAATGTAGTGGTTCTGGTAGTGGTTCTGGTGTCTATTGCCTGTCCCTGCAGGCTTATTAATATAAACACTGCCTAGGAACATCTCTAGGCTGAACATTCCCCATAGAGATGCATTAAGATGCTGATTGGCGCACCCTGGCGTTTTGCCGCTTATGCACAATTGCTTCCCAATGCTTTCCTATGGAAAAATATTGGGGTGGGTGAGATCAACATGTTTAGATGATCTCAGCTATGGAGGCGGAGTCAGCTGTGGAGAGACCGGTGCAGTGTGGGAGAAAAGATAAGTTTAAAAACATTATTTCTCCAGGTATGTGGCACCGGACACCCAAATAGCTAGTTTAACACAATAGTTTCAGGAATATGTGTGTGTTCCTGACACTATAGTGTTCCTTTAACTATATTTTATAATGCAGATTGATATATTTTTTTATCTGGCTGAGCAGCCATGTTGGGTCAGAGTCTACAGTTATACGTGATTTTTTTCTTCATTAACTGTAATAAACTTTAAACAACAAGAAGTGAAAAATTGATAACTGATGTCCTTTAAAACCACAGACAACAGTTACACACTTTTTATACAATATTCATACACCTGTCGTGAATTCTTCCCATCATTAAATCCTGTGTTCTACCATATTCTGGGCTCTTTAATGAAGATCTTTGCAATGTTATGCACAACTAGGTCTTCCACCACCTAATTTGCATTACATCTTTTCACAGATATTCTGAGCAGTCATAATGTGAATATTTTATTTGGGTATTTAGTTTCACAAATACATCAACTTGGAGTCCATTGTGCAGTAATAAACATGTTAAGGAAGGCTCTCCTAAAATATCAGTTCGTTTGTTTCATGATAGTTTCTGCATCGTTAGGCATTTATTGAGGGGACAAGGAGAGTAAAGGCAGGGAGATACATCAGGAAGTAGGCAGACAAAGGTGGGAGGGGGAATATACTATGGTTATGGAATCACACTAGGGTTGGGGAACACAATAGATGGTGGGAAGATACTCAAATAGATTGCTGAGACATACGTAGGGAATAATAGAGCACAGACTAGAAGGAGAGAGGCTGGGGATGGGAATCAAAGGATGAATTGAGAAACACAACTACAATGCAAAAAAGAGATGAGACATGGCAGGAAGGTAAAGCCTGGTTATAGCCAGTAGAGACTGTTCGCACCAACAAATGTTATTTCCAGGAAAGATAACAGGACGATTAGAGCTCATAGTTTATATTCATGTTTCCAGATGAGTACTGTAGGGGGAAAAGGCACAGCTCTAATAATATAGTGTGTTATCATGGCTCACAAACCGATCCTCATTCAACCATCAGCCAACTTTACTGCTCCCAAGAAATGTAATATACAGCCGATTCTTCAGTCACAATCCTGGTGTATTGAAATCGACTTCTTTTTATAGTTTTTCATTAGTAATATCACAGAAAATGACTTTTCTCTAACACACCCTTCTATATAGGGATTCCTTGCCCCAGGAGAAATTGACCCTCTGAACAGAAGATTCTCAACAGCTTTTAAACCTGATGTAGTCGTCCAAGGTTAGTCCAGAAAAAATATTTGTGTTTGTGTAACAATGTAAACTGTTTTTCACTGAGACTTGAAAATGCTAAAGGGGAACGCTTACTTCTTTGAATATTACACAATTGAGTAAAGCATTATAATTATCAATAACTTTTCATGTGATGCTCCATTTATTTCAAAACACTATAGTGAGGAATAAAAAATAAACACAAAAGAGGTTGATTTATACATTTAAAACATCCTCGTACATATCATTTTTAATTGAACAAAACTAATTAAATCATAACTAATAAAGACAATTTACACTGCAGCATGTCTAGGCCCCATCTCTCTCATATAATGATAAAGCTTTTCCCATGTATTCATTTTCTTATTAATATTCCTTTAACATTTAGCTATCGACATCACAATCCATATTGGTCAAGACAAAGCCATTCATCACATTAGAAGAGAAATATTAATTCTGTTTCTCCTCCCTTCTCTGTGCTGTCTCCCTTCTCTGTATAACAATAATTGACAGGAAAAGAAAATGGAGGCTCAGTTACAACATACAGCTAAATATGGCATATGGGTTTAGTTTAATTTTTAAATCTTACAAACACATATATTTGTTAAATATAGCAGAAAAGTAAACGTACAATTGGAAAAAAAAACATATCATGCAGTTGATTGCAGTATATTTGTGGGTGGTCCAAATATACATATGATTATTCCGTTTTCCTTTATTGTTCATTCTAACGGTTTTCTCATCCTCCCAGCAGTGAAAGGTTATACAGGGTCAGAGGGCGAGATATTTTGGATGCCCCACCACTTCCTCTCTTGACTCAAAAAATATTTTTCTGATCTTTGTCCAACATTAAAAACAATTTGAGCCTAAGAAATTGCTCAATTAAACATAAAACACAGACTTCTTTTTCCTTGCTAGAATATTTTAGCTCCTAACTGGTCTAGTGTGTGCTTAGTCATACCCATAATGCAGAAATAATGTATAGTGTAGTTTTAAATGCATAATGTAGTTTTAAAATAATTTTGGTTTTATTCTGTTTTACTGTTTTGCACGTGGCACTGTATGACATGCAAAAAAAATTACATAGCTAAAGAATTAGGTCAATGGGACTTTCACAGCTTTTACATTATGTTAGTATTCAATAACACTGATTTCTTTTTTTGTTTTAGTTTGTGTCATAGCAGAATCTAAAGAAATTCAGAAAATGTTGAAATCAAATGGTATTGAAGTTCAGTGCTTCTCCGATATGCGCCCAATACGTGTGGTGCCTGCTAAAATACTGAGCCATTTGTACGTAAAACTTGGTGAGTACGGTTATATCTTCCTGATTAACCAAAGATAAACATCTTTGATAAAATGCATGTCACTGGATTTCAGCCAAAAACATCAATAAATAGTACAAAATCATCAAAGATGCTGCAAATCAAATTAGTCAGTAAGTACATGTAAAACAATCGTATATAATCTTCATATGCATGTCCGATTTCTTACAAGTCGATATTACTTTGACACAGCTCATTTGTACTGAGACACATTTAAGACATATTCTACAAATGTAATTTGTTTTCTTTACAGGATATAACAAAGCCATGAATCTAAGTGGACGTCCATACCGCCATATTGGAGTACTTGGCACATCAAAACTGTATACGATCAGAAATCAGATCTTTACTTTTACACCCCAGGTAGCCATGATTAGTTGTCATGCAGCTAAATAACTTGATCAATAGCTATGATGTAGACTATGAGTTTAGGAAGACTTATCTTCTACTAAAGAAATTCATTTTTTTCCAGGATTACCAAAAGTCGAGTAAGCATGTTTTGTCCACAGTGAATGACTAAATCCTTAATGAGATATGTTTATATGTAGTGTGCTTATCCCCAATTTATATTAAATACATAATGATCAGCCACAACATTAAAACCACTAACACAATCAGCACTGTTACATTTTACAGTTTAAGATCATATTTGTGTAGATTTGCTTAGGTGTCTAGAATGGTATACTACTTTATGCATAGTGTTTTTGGAATGTGCTTTGGTTCGAAATAGACCAATGGCTAGATGCATGTCTTCATCTTACTCTACTAGAGTGCATCAATAAGATTCTAATAGTTCACACATATTTTGAAATCTGACTGACAGCGTGATGCCAAGTATTAAACAGTAATGGCATAAAATAGCGACAAAATTCTGAATACATGTTATAGTTTAATATTTAGCTCTTTTAGTTCACAGACCAACACCACTTCTACCTTGCTCTGGACAGCAGAATGATTGTAGAAATGCTCAGGACAGAACTGGCTTACCTGACATCATGCTGGAGGATGACCGGAAGACCAACACTGACATTCCCCATCACTCACGCTATGCTTAGTAATTGCTGCTCAATTCTATTATAGTGTAAAATATATGTAATATCTGCTGACGAGGGCACAGCCGACCCAAGCTAATCTTGTTTGGATCCTCCGTGCCTCAGACCCTGCTGTGCTGTGCTTAATGTGTGGGATTATGCAGCATTAGTAAATTAATTACTGGCAATGCCAGTCCCCAGCCCTATATTATTCTCACCATCCCAACACACAGTGGGTGGAGAGACCTGGTACACAGGCTAGGAAACGATTCAGTACATTCACTGAGCTCTGTGGGATTGAGAACCACACTTGGCTGTGTCTGTTTAATACTGTGGTCTCATTGACCCATGTGTGTTTTTTTTATTGATGATGTGATGAGCTCCAAAATAATTAGTGTTGTGCTGCTTTTCTGGCTGCAATTAGCCAATCCTGCCATGTTTTTTTTCACTTAATTACGGTCTTTGCAAGTCTGCAAGTGGTGAGTTACTTTCAAAAGTTCACACCCTGAATTGTTCTAAGTAAATGGCACAGAGTCATTTATTTTTCAGGAACTGTTAGATTTATCTCTATGTATAACCACCTAGAAGATTTAATGAAATATATTCAACAACAACTAAATATATGAGTAAACATTTTACATCTCTGCTAACCTAAATGTCACATTTAGTTTTCATTTAAGTGCAATTCATAGTTTTATTGACACACTCTAGTTCTGGGATTCTTAGTCCTTAAAGAGCCAAACCTGGTTAAAATGGTGCATCATAGTCATCAGATTGTTGGCAGTTGTCCACAATATATTGTTTATTGCAGCTGCAATGACTTTCCCGTTAAAATGATCCCCCATTGACACGATGGAAAGAGTCTAATGCAGAAGTGATTGTGCTTGATTTAATATTACAATTGATAAATCGGTTGCACAGCTAACCCCCCCCCCCAAAAAAAAAAATCGGTCCAGTCGTATTTTTTTACACAAATTATTCGAATAATACATTTGATTTGTAAAAAAAAGTTGTTTTAATAGAAAAACTGTTTTACAATGTTTACCGGGCATCTAAATTTAGTTTACTGTACAAATAAGTTCAACCTTTATAGGTTACCATTTTTTTCAATTTTACTAGGATATGTCAAGAAATTTACTTAATCATCTTTATTACTAAGTAAATATGTTCAGGCCAACCATTGTGAATTACAGGGAAAATAAATTGTGGGTTTTTGTGTTTTAGATGAAGATGGCTCTGACATAGACCCAGCTATTCTTTCTACAATTAGGAAACTTGATGATGGGTATTTTGGAGGTGCAAGGTAAAAAATTCTACTATTATATATGTACGGTACTAATGCTTCTTTAGAAATTGTGTTTTTCTCTTAGAGTTCTTTATTAACCAATATGTTCATTTTTTTCCAGGGTGAAGTCAGGAAAATTTTCAGATTTTCTCACTACTTCATTTTATACCCACCTAAGTTTTCTGGATTCAGACTGTGATGACAAGCTTTTTGACGACACCAATAATGGCTATGATAGCCCAGATAATGACTACGAATATGAATTAGGAACAGTTTCAGAGGATCAAAGTGACAAAAGTATGGGCTCCACACTCATAACTCATACAATCCGGCATGTAGAGTGTTAAGGTGTGCCTGACTCTACATTCTTGAATATAGAATGTATATGGCTATACCATACTTGCTGTCTAATAGGAAATACAAAAATAATATTTAGGCTGTTATTGTGCTTGCCTGCAGTTACCTTGGCAAAAGGCTTTTCCCTTTAAGCTTTCTATTGATTTCTCATTCAATTTTCCTGCACTCATTTTTTTCCAATGTGGGATGCTAATAAATGTGTCTGAGAACTGGTACAGACTTAGTGGCAGATGTGAGCTGAGTTTGTTTTTGAATGTGGCTGATGACAGGACTGTGCATATCATATTACTCTACTCCAGCCCATAAATCGGGGTTGTAGGAAGGAACCTCTAGCTTGTTATCAACTTTCCTCTGCCAAAAGGGGGCTTTAGTCCTTCAGCCCCCTCTGGTTACACTCGAGATGCATGGTGACCTTATTTTTTTCTCAAAACCCCCATCTCTATTGGTTAAAACATTGCAACCAATACTATGTGCTGTTGTGTCCACTTAAGCGTAACAACTAAATAAAAAAAATATGTGCAAAATCACTAATCTATTTTAATTCATTCCTCTCAAGTTCTGCTGTTAAATGCAAATATTTTCTTAAATTTTCCAGGAGAAAATCGTGATGAGCTTGATCAGTACATAACTCACTTGCAGCAAAGTGTAGAGTCTACTACACATCTACCTCCAACATGCAATAACTCCACAACATACCATGCATTCAGCGCCTTGCATTCCACACGCGATATTCTCTCTATGATCGCTAAGACAAAGGGCTTGGAAGTACAAAGTAAGTATTGCATCAGTGCATAATATTTTTCAGACTGCATTATAGTCATCTCACTTTCATGAGGGTAGGTTTCAGCAACATTGTTATGTAAATTGAAATTATGTAACCTATAATTAAATAATCAATTTACATATAGAAATGATCATAGACGCTTTACTTGATGAACTGTTTGTTAAATGGAATACAGTACAAGTGTACTGGAAAAAAACAAAATGCTAAACAAACTAATACTTCATATGCAACAGATCTATATTAACGTTGACTGACGATCGATCATTGATCATGGTCGAGAGGAAATCAGAATTTTTTTAGCTTCGGTTCATACAGAGCACCATAGGAAAAAATACAGAACAATATAATTGTCATTCAGCTTGATAATGGAGACATAATGTAAACATTAATCACTGAAAATGAAGTCAATCTAATTTGATCAGAATAGCTTTAGAGTTATAATAGATTAGATTACAGATTATCTCAGGAGATATGAATGTAGTACATGTCACAAGTTTCATAGATAGTGAGCAGATAATGAAGAAAAACTAATTAAGAATATCATACTACAATATTCTTCTTCTAATTAAAAGACAATCTCCCTTGTAAATAGGACTAGTGATGTCAGTCTTTTTGATGCTGTACACTTTCCAGATGACAATTATATAGATTAGTCCTAATCTGAATCATCTCAAAAGCTTGTTGGATAAACTGTATATAAAGTCCTTGACACAATGTCTTTACTCAGGCTAGTATGGATAGAGGACCGACGCACACATAAAAAAATACAGTTTTCAATTTTATAAGGCTACTTAAAACGACCTCTCAGCAAACATGTGGATTCAGTTCCACCTTATGGCCATATTGTGTCAAAGTGACTCTCTAGTGCCAGGAAAACAAATCCGTTAGTTAGTAAAGTCCAGTCCAGTCTGGGTCGTGAGGCAATAGTATGGGTGATCCAAAAGCAAGGTTAAAGTCCAATCCGGTCTGGCAGCAATTAATCAATCCAAAAGGGGAATCCAGAAGAAGGTCCAGTCTGGGTCGGCATCAGGTAACATAGGCAGAGGGAGAATCCTAGAGAATAGTAAAAGTCCAATTCAGTCCAGCAATAAAGAATCAATTCAAAGGGAAATCCAAATAGAGTAGTTCATTCTAGTCCGAGTCAGCAAATGAAATAAGATTATCCGTGAGAATGGTCAGAGTTCAGTCCGGTTTGGCAACATGGAAAGCAAATGGAGTATAAAGTACTTTAACTTTTAAGGGGAATTGGAAAGGTTTTTTGGACTAGGAATAACAGTACCTAAAGAGCAAGTAAAGGTGTCCACTGCACACTAGTGAAGAGACACATTAATTGTGCACTGGGATATTGACTTTGGGCGTTTAAAAACGTGAATTAGTGAATGTCAATTAGCCTCTTAAAGTGGTATAGTTAAAAGTGAAGTGAACCATTTAAAGGAACCGTTACATTGGGAGACAAAATAATTAGTGCTAGTACGACATAAATGAATAGGTATTTTAATAACATGCTGTAAAAGCATTGTGAATATATATAATGCAAAATTAATGTGATCAATGCTATACAAAAAAATGCAGTATCAAACCAAAACAAAATGATAGTGCTCTGATGTATATACTGACAATGCATATTATATATCTGCTCTATTTTTATGTGTGCGCTGTTCCTTAATCAATCTGTATTATGAATAAATTTTCGTCACTGTGGTGGAACTGAATCCTCATATTTGTTTTCTGAGATACGTGATTTATGTAGCCTTATAAAATGTTAAACTGTATTTTTATGTGTGCGCTGTTCCTTAATCCGTATTAAGTATACATTTTGGTCACTATGGCACCAAATTCCTGCAAAATGCATGTTCTGGGGGTGCCCCCAATTCCCTGTTGTCTCTACTCAGGCAACTGACACCATGTAGTATTTTCTGTGTGCAAATTTAAGGTGGACAGTAGGTACACAGAGTAGTTCTTTATTCAGTTCCCATGTAATCAAGAAGTAATCAACTGAACAACTGAAACTAAACCTAAAATGGCCCCCACAAACCTAAAATGGCCCCCACAAACAGTTCCAAAGTGTCCTTTCTAAAGTAACAATATACCACAATCCTGAGTATTGATATACTGGCTGCTTGCAACTGAACATGCATACTTATAAGGGTACTGCTGGGGCACTTACTCATTCACTAAACAGCAATTTCAAGTCTCACAAAATGTGATTTTTTTTTTTACAAAACACCTCACCTAGGCAAAAAATGATGGGGTTTAGTTACATTATATGATTGTCAATGTACCCCATTCTCGGCAGGTCCTACTCTTTGTACTTATTTTTATAATTCTATCTATTAATAAGCTCCTGGATATCTGTCACTATTCTTGTAGTACCATACACTCTATCTAGCAGCCTAATGCCTGCTCTTATGAGATTAATCCTCTTACTTGGGAAATACTTCCTCCTGGGACTCTCTGCAGGTCAAGGTTAACTAGGGCCGTTGAATGAGGCACCTGTGACAGGGAGAGGTGCAAAACCGGGGAGCTGTCCTGGTTGTTTATTGAATGAGTGAGTGGTCTAGATCTTGTATGATATTTATCCTACGTCACCATCATTTGAAAACTAATGCAGTTGAATTATTTGGAGTAGAAACAAGTTTTTTGTGTGCATTATCTTGCATAGTTATAGATATTGTAGAGAACAAGTAGAATTACACAGAACATTTTTCTGTACTGTTAGCTCTACAAAATATGTCAAATTAAAATTACATATAAAAAAAATAGGCTGATTTATAAGACATGTGCATATATGCCTGGTTACATGATTGAATCTGTTAAATGTCAGCATGTAAATGTGCATATGCTATTAGTTCATTCATATTTTCTTCGTGGTGGTGGTTCAAGGATATGCATAAAATATATATGTGTATATGATGCTGGTAATAATGAAATCATTTTTAGTGCTGGTGCTTTTAAATATGTGTTTAGTGCTGGTTATCTAATGTGTTCATGGTGCTGCGTCTATTTGATGTGATAATGCTGTTAATTTTTGTAATGCTTTTATGCATCTGGTTCTATTAAATATATTTTACAGCTGATTCTCTTTTGTGTTTTATATCTGCCTTTGTTTCAGATTCCTCTTTGTTTCTACCTTCAAAAAATTTAAAAGCTCATCGAAGGTCTTTAAACCTACTAGAAGTTCCTAACTTGCACCAGCATCAGGTGACTTCGGTTTTTGTTTTCAATTAAAACAAAGTGATTCAAACGTTCTTGTTTTTATTTATTGTCTCAGAGAAAAGGTACATTGTAGAAATAAGATAAAATGGTGGGACACAGGCAACGAATTAAGACATTGTCAACACATCCTGGGCAGGTGGGATGTTGAAACCTGAGATGTCCCTCTTGGACATTATTTGCTATTTTGCATGGTTGAGTGACAAAAAAAAAAAATCCCAGGTACGTCCATTTTGATTCCCAGTGGGAACACAACATATTGTGGAAAGGTGTAAGGTAAACATGCATACAAGGCTATATCTTGTTTCTCAATATAAAGGATATGCAGGGTTAAATTTTTAAATTCAAAGCTAAAATCCTTTACAAAATATGAAACAAAATTTAGAACTCATCTACATACAAGGGCAACTTTCCTAGCTAACTCCTCAGCACATGAAATTAAACCCACAGATATGTGGCTTTGGAAAGATTCTACTATAAAATATGTCATTTGTGTTTACTGTTAGGAACTGTTCTCTCCAGTAACCACCTTCTTTAAGCTTTTTAGAAGTCTGAGTACCAGTTTTGGAAATGGTTTCTAGTAAAATGTAAATTAGATATCAGAACTAATTTAAAATGTTCCACAGAATCATGAAACTGAATTAAATCTGCCAAAAGATGCACATGGAAATGTTGATTGTAGCAGACTTGCTGAAATGCTGAAGGAGTGCCCCACACTTCAGGACCAGGCTGACATACTGTACATTTTATGTGTTATAAAGTAAGTAGTCATCAGCCAATTAAATCTTGCAGAGTATTTTCAGAGCTTACTATTTGTTTACTGTTCATCCCAGTCATTTTTTTTCTATCTATCTTCTAGTTTTTATTAATAAAAAATGGTATATTTGTTTATCTGTTTTGCCTTTCACCGTACCTTGTTGGACTACAAATTCCTTGAACCTTACCGCATTCATGTTGGATTGCTATAGAATGATTTGCCAGTACTAAGGAATATTCAGAAAATGGTTAATATTGTAAAGACTTGTGCCCGTTGTAGTCTAAAGAAAGACAATATTAACTTTTAACAGTTATTTCCTGGTGTTGTGGGAAACTGTGATATATTTTGCATATACTGCGTCAGCTGGAGGTTGTGAGAATGTGTTTTTTTTTAATTTCATTACTATTTGTAATGTATTATCTTAGCATATTTTAATGCACAATCTATATAATGCATTAACTAAACGATTGAGTTATTCTAACATTTAACTATTTCTGTTCTCAGGGGTTTAGAATGGGACACCAACTTGAATGGACAATCTGGAGTTACAGTCCACATCCTGTTGAGTGAACTTTATAGTAAAGCCGGGCTCAATCGAGAATGGGGATTAATCCGTTACATCTCTGGGTTACTGAAAAAGAGAGTGGAAGTACTTGCTGAGGTACATCACCCATTCAGTTATGTTACCTATTAACATCACTCATTCAAAGTGACAAGTCTTTCTACTGTCCATTTCTTTATGCCTTTAATATATAATTCATCCTAAATATAAATGACATATTTAAAATTTTCTTTAAATGGCAGCCATCATGTCCATTTGTGAGGTGCTACACTACTTTTAACACCAGGCATCCATTGCCATCACCACAGTACCTCTTATCTGTCTACCCCTGTTGTACTTTTTAAATCAGAGCATACGTGCCAAAACAATCAACATTTGTCAGTGCTTTGGCTTGTAAGCGGTAAGCGGTGTGTTGTCATTCCTAATCTCTGTAATCACATGTTGGAATGTCATATATACCGCAGTGCAATGCTATGCTGGTTATTGTACACTTTGCTGTGATAGGGAAGCTCTAATCAAGGATTTGTTCAAATACCTTTAATATTTTAATTTTTTTTTTCTTTAGGCCTGTACAGACATCCTCTCACATCAGAAGCAGCTAACTGTGGGTCTGCCTCCCGAACCTCGCGAAAAAACCATCACAGCGTAAGTGTTAATTGATTTGCTGCTGCATTACTTCACTTTGCATTTCTTACATTGGTAATTACTAATTAATACTTTATATGGATCATTAAATGTACATTTAGACAAAGGTTGTCTGATCTTGACCAACCATCTATTTTTACACTATGTTTGTCCAATTTAGTCCAAAAAATTAGTGTCATTAAGGTTTGACACCTTTGCCTTAGGTGTAGTTTATTATGTATATTTATAGGTTTCTTGGAGCGGATATTCCACACTTTGCTTTTTCAGTGTTTATCTTCATTTGCAATAAGCTTTATAAAATCATTTATTTAATATTAGACCATATTTATTAGTGATGGTATATACAATATCTGTTTAAATTCACCCAGTCCTTTACCTCCCGAGGAGTTAGCTGCCCTAATCTATGAAGCCAGTGGACAAGATATCAGCATTGCTGTACTCACACAGGTAAAAAATTATATATTAAGCAGTAATATTACATTTTCTTTATTAGATCTTAACTTGTCAGAAACATTTTGGTCTTGATTGAATGTGTATGAGTTTGTGTGAGATAGCATCAGAAATGATTTCACTCTCTTATAAAAACTTTTCAAATGATTTATCTACATAAGTCACCATTAAAATCATTTAAAAAGTTTAAATGTTACTGATTCAAATAAATGAAATAAATGCCTTTTATATGTGATGGTATATGATATGGTGTAGATTTAATATAGCAGTAAATAATGCTGCAAACATTATTACAGGGCAATGCAACCTTTTGGTAGTGAAGTGCCAAAGAAAAACTTTGAAGTTCCTTAAGGGTGCTAGCCCTAGTAGTGTTTGTGTATGGAGCGGAATTCTGCTTGTAGCATGTATGGATGCAGCAGATGTTGTTGGAATTTGAATATGTATGTGTGTGAAATGTCTGTTGTGTTATGTGAGTATGTATATGGGCTGTGTGTAGTGTTGTGTGTACATTGTTGTTTGTGTTAGTGTGTTTGTGGAGCAGTTTGCTTGTAGGGTTCTGTGTGTGTGTGATGCGTTGCCGTGCTTATCTGCGGCAGTGTTCTGAATATTTTGGGAAGTCCTAGATTGCGAGGGACTCCTGTAGTGTCTGCCCATTGCTGCTCAGGCTAATGCTTCATTATTAACCCAAACAGCACACAGGGAATGGGCTTCTGGGGACTCCTGTTTGTCTTTGAAACATTACAAATTGTTTAATGCTGAATGGAAGGACACTGCCAGGAGACTTGAACTACTTTCCCTGTTCAAGTATTGCACATATAATTAGCAAATGTCTTGTGACCTTATAACTATTTCTATGCATATTGTTTCTTGTCCAGGAGATAATGCTGTATCTAGCTATGTACGTCAGGTCACAACCAAGTCTTTTTGGAGAAATGCTCAGACTACGGATTGGACTTATCATCCAAGTCATGGCCACCGAGTTGGCTCGAAGCTTGAACTGCTCAGGTGAATAGATTTTTATGAAAATCAATTTCTACTTTTGTTATAATTCATTAACTCGTTGAAATTTAGTTGAGGAGTTCTGAGTTACAGACCTGATCAACATTAAGAACTGTTTGACTTTTAAAAAAAAATTACATTGATCCAAAGATATGGAATGTTCCTAAATACTAAAAAATTGTATTATCAGGAGAAGAAGCCTCTGAAAGTTTAATGAGTCTCAGCCCATTTGACATGAAGAACCTTCTTCATCATATCCTGAGTGGGAAAGAGTTTGGAGTGGAGCGAAGCAGTAAGTAGTCTTTCAAACTTTACAAGTATTTAAATTCTGTTGGCAAAAAGCATCTTTTATTACTATTTCACAGTGTGTTATTTTTTGATTTGCACAGTATTATTAATATTATTATTATTACTGGCATTTATAGAGGGTACTGTTTCAAATCGCTTTATAAATTCTGATATCACATTTATTTTAAAATAGCTGTCAAATATAATACATTGACAGCAGGGTCTTCAGATTGTTCAAGGTACATTGTTCATTTTTTTAGAGTATGGTACATGAACATATGGATTTTAAAGATTTATGACCAGTAGAAAATATAATTTGACATATATTAACTGACATGCAGTGATATATACAACACTTTCACTGCTAATCACTATTTTTCAAGTTGCTATTATTACACCTGTGCTGTAACAAGAGTACTAGGTTACCAAAGTATATATGTATTTATTTATTTATTTTGCCTTTAAAAATACAGACAAGCTGGTTGATTGCCAAAACACAGCCAGGGCTTGAAAAGTAACAATCGTAGTATAGTATAATTAGAGCTATTTCCAATTTCCCTACTTGTAATATTCTCATTGTATTTTTCTGCAAAAAAAATTATTTATGTATTATACAGAAAATATCAACACTAACAATATCTTTCTTAAAAGTGCGTCCTATTGAATCGTCGGCTACCAGCCCTGCAATATCAATACATGAGATGGGTCACACAGGCGTTACGAAGACAGAAAGGACCGGCATTAACCGGTTGCGGAGTGAAATGAAGCAGGTAGTTTGCTGTCCATTTTTACTGCATAGCAGTGATTCTTCAGACATCTAGAAGACATCAGTGTGACATTTCTATGGTTACTCTGCCTTCTGAAAGTATTTGTCAATCATTGGTTTGGAATATTTACTGTAGGTGATGACTGAACACATACACACACTGACACCACTAATTGCATTGTTTCATAAGTCAGGGCAGCATGACTTTAAGAGAGCAAATTATTAAGGGCTGATGCAATATATAACTTAATATACCATTATATATTATGCCAGTGAGGTAGCACAGTTGGTTATTACACTAACTTTACTAGATTTGTATGCTTTTATGTTAACAAATTGTATTCCAATGCAGTTATCCTATCAAGGCTTTGATCTAATTTTTTTTTAGATAAGCTTTTCAAATAAACTTTAAAAAGAAAAAAGGAAAAACGCTAAAATATAAAAATATATATCTCAGAGAAGGGCTACTAAGCTGGTTCATGGATTGCAGGATAAAACTTACCAGGAAAGGTTAAAATATCTTAACATGTATAGCTTGGAGGAAAGACGAGACAGGGGAGATATGATAGAAACATTTAAATATATAAAGGGAATCAACACAGTAAAGGATGAGACTATATTTAAACAAAGAAAAATGACCACAACAAGAGGACATAGTCTTAAATTAGAGGGACAAAGGTTTAAAAATAATACCAGGAAATACTACTTTACTGAGAGGGTACTGGATGCATGGAATAGTCTTCCAGCTGAAGTGGTAGAGGTTAACACAGTGAGGGAGTTTAACCCCTTAAGGACACAACTTCAGAAATAAAAGGAATCATGATGGAATATTTCCGTCATGTGTCCTTAAGCATACGTGGGATAGGCATAAGGCTATCCTAGCTATTTGGAAAATTGGGCAGACTAGAAGGGCTGAATGGTTCCTATATTCCTTCACATTCTATGTTTCTATATGTAATACATAAAAATAGACTAATATCTAACAAAATTATTCAAATCTTAAAACATTTTTAAAAATATTAAAAGTTTATCTAAAAATAGTAACTCATTTTAAAAGCTTATGAAAAAACCCCATTAAATTAAAGCCTTAGTTTGACAAAATCTGTTCACTTGTAGTTGAGCACTAATAATAATATTTATGATAGAGAACAAGAGAACATTTTAGTGTTTGATGGATATATTATGAACATGATGCAAGTGTTGATTGCTGTGAGTTGAATCTTTTTGATGACTAACTGTAAGCTCACTGTCGTATTGTATAATCAGTGTGATGTTTTATTGAAAAATATAAGAATTCATTCTGTCTGTCGGGATGGTGGTATGTCTTCCCTTATGCTATGATAGCGATAGTCGTGTTTTTTGTCTTGCAGCTCACTTTTTGCTTTAATTGGTTTCTCACTTTATGCAGTAATCAATTTCTTTGTTGAAGAAATGAAAAATCATGACTAACTGGTGCTTGCTTTTAAATAAAGTTCATTGCTTTGGAGATACAATCACTGATATTCATTCATCTTTAATTGCAGATGGATAGTAGATTTAGCACTGATGAACAGGTGAAACTTAATTTGGAAATGGTTTGCTTTCATTGTTTCTTCTCGACTATTCAATTATTTATTTATTTTTCTTTCTGTTACTTTCTAATTATTTTCTATTACTAATATCTAAACATATCATTTTCTATTAATCTTAACAATTTTAAAATGGCAATTATTGCACAATCATTGGAAAGCGTTCAATATGTAACCCATAGTCTTCAGATCAGATTTATTTTTAATTGTGGTGTCTTAAAGAACAGCTCTAGGTTACTGAACGCACTGTTGAATGTAAACAAAGCATTTAAAGAAAGAAATATGCATTTATATGTAAATCAAAATAGATCAAAATCCGACCCCTACAATAATTAATTTCAAAAAGTTTGTGCATCCTGATGACAAACAAAAAGTTAATATAGCCAGTCTGAAACACGGCACAGAGTTCTGGCACCATAACCACTTCGACAAGCAGAAATGATTATACTTAGAGTAGCATAGCTTTAAGTACAAAGCTAGTGCAATTTAATTTCTTGAATTTATAAACATGTACTGTAATCTATATATAAATTATTATTATTATTATCACTGTTATTTTGTACATCCACCACTGGTTCTTAAAGATGGCTCTAATGGGGTTAAGCTTATTTATATGCCCAGGATACAGTATAATGCCTTTTATACATAGTTTGTGTGGCTGCCTATATCTGGTAGTGGTCAGGAGTCTATTTTTAAACAGTTTGTCATTTACTTCTGGACATCTGAAGTCCATCCACCTCTTCAGCTGATGCTCTCAGTCCATTAATTCTATCCAGCTTAAATTTATATATCAAATGAGGAAGGGGATCTTCTGCTTTAGCTATATCTGAGGACCAAATATACTGCAGGTAAGTGTCAAACTGTTAAAAAAACAATTTCATTACTTATTGCGGGATAGTGCCAATAGGCTTCTGACACTCTAACCACTACAGTGTGCAGATATGGTTATGGTGCTTAGACTTTCCCTTTAAAAGGCTTAATTAAATATTTTTTCTCTCATGACTCGAAACACATTTATCTGCATTTACTAAACAGTTTAACATCTTGTGGTACTGGATGAAATTTACTGGCCTTAAATGGCATGTGAAATATGTTCCTACAATAAGAAATATGCCCTCAGGTGAAAATCTGTTCATTGCAAGTCCTTACCAGCTGTCAGCCTAACCAAGCATTTAACACATAGTTTAAATTTAATGCGCTTGTCCTTTTCCTGTGCAGTTTCTGTTTTTAACCTTGCACAACAAGAGAATATATGCTCCAAAGTACATTAAAGTTTATTATATCTGAATAGAAACAGGGAGGGTATGGCATATTGTAATTAAAATGTAGTTGCTTGTTTTTTTTAACCTTTTTTATTTAAAAAAAATATATATTTTTAAATCAAATGTAAGAATTTGATTTTATAGCTTGGCATCTGATGTAACATCAAAATGACCTATGTTTCACTTTGTGTGGACCATGATGGGTCTTGGGTGTGCAAGTTACTATTGGAAAAATGTGCCTGGAGCACATACGCACAAAGAGCATCTTGGGAAAAGTGTAGTAATGTTTTGTACATAACTAAGCCATAGACCTCAATTCAACAAACAGGGAAAGTGGAACACAAACCAAACACCACATTAAAAGGAACACCAACAGGAAAATGTTCGTTCCTCCTTTACAAATGTGTGTTTTGTATTAAAACTACTCCTTGTTGTCCTTGTGTAATAAATATATATTTACTGTTAGGTTTACCAAACTAAAGATATTACTTAAAGGACCACTCTAGGCACCCAGACCACTTCAGCTTAATGAAGTGGTCTGGGTGCCAGGTCCAGCTAGGGTTAACCCATTTTTTTAATAAACATAGCAGTTTCAGAGAAACTGCTAAGTTTATTAATGGGTTAAGCCTTCCCCCTATTCCCTCTAGTGGCTGTCTCATTGACAGCCGCTAGAGGCGCTTGCGTGCTTCTCACTGTGATTTTCACAGTGAGAGCACGCCAGCGTCCATAGGAAAGCATTGCTCTTGCCGCGTGTGTGCATTCAGCCGGCGGGGCGTAACGGAGGAGGAGAGGAAGCAGAGAGCTCCCCGCCCAGCGCTGGAAAAAGGTAAGTTTTAACCCCTTTCCCCTTTCCAGAGCCGGGCAGGAGGGGGACCCTGAGGGTGGGGGCACCCTCAGGGCACTATAGTGTCAGGAAAACGAGTATGTTTTCCTGGCACTATAGTGGTCTTTTAAGGTAATCTCACACCTTTTACATTACAAACCATTTCTCAGTTTTATATTTTGAGGTTTGAAGCCTAGTGGTAGCCCAAACCCCTACACCAGGAGTACCCAACAGACCAAATGCCAGCTGTTGAACTACAGCTCACATAATGTGTGATTCCTCCGTCATGGCAAAGCATCATGGGAGATGCAATTCCACCACAGCTGGAGAACTGCCTATTCCTACCTTCTATGGTTTGTAGACTTTGTCTAGACTAGAGGAGAGAGGAATGGGACAATACTGAAGTAGAGAGGAGTAAAATAATACAGGGAGGAAAGAGGAGTAAAGCAATCCTGGGAGGAAAGAAGAGTTAATGAATGCTGGGAGGAGAGAGGAATGAAGGAATACTGGGCTGAGAGAATACAGTCTGGGAGGAATTCTTACATTAAATGACGCTGGGAGGCTGACGCTGGGCAAGCTGACACAGGGCAGGCATGCATAAGTGTGTGGCAATCTCTTTATAAGATTGCGGCCGCGCGATCTCTGCAGTTTCCGACCTTCCAGGAACAGCAGGGAGCGGCAGCCATCTTGGATTGGGTGATTCACGGTGGAACACCAATTGGGAAATGCTGGTCTAGACTAAACTGACATCTTTCAAAAACTTATAAAAAAAATAACAGTAGAGTGCAATTTAGTTATAGTATAAGACTAGCAGTAGGTTTTGAGATGCAGTGTAGTAATATCCTTAGTAAGCAGGTTTCTCTGTAAATTACAAGCATGTACAGATGTGCAACCAATCGAGTTGTGTCACTTAACATGACTGTCTCTTTTACTCTTTCCTGACTCCAAGCCACTTCTACCTTCATGCTTTCCTTTGCATGTGATCCACTGCATGTCAAGTACCACTCTGTTTACACATTTTGTTTTTCTGTGTTGTAGTTCATGTTTGGCCATTCTGTTACCAGCAGCATCCATTCCTCGAGGTCTACGGTAAAACACATCATATTGTTTGCTGTGTGTCTGTTTGCTTTGCTTCTCTTGTTCTGTGCCTTGGTTAATTCACATTGATGTTCTTTTTTTTGCCATATTTTCACTATTCACCAATTATTGCTACCTTACAAATTTGTCCGACTCAATCGAAAAAAAAAGTGTTCATTATGTAGCTGACATTATTGCATTTAAAAGTATTTCCAATTTCTATTAGTGAGTTTGTATGTAAACTTTTTGCAAGTAATTAATTCACCTCATAGTATATCAGAGAATTTAAATATAAATGAATGATATGTATATAATAATTCAGATATAAAACAGTCATACACTTTAGAGATAGTGATACTGATTGCATTTCCTTTTATTCTTCACGGTTGTGTTTTGGATTTATTTCTTTATTCAGGGCCAGAGGAAGGTTATTTCAAAGTCCAGAAACACTGCATACTTTTTTTCTAAAGTGTTTTGTAAGGTTTAATTTATTAAAGGAACACTAAAGGGTCAGGAACACAGATATATATCAAAATCTTACTTTTATTGCAGTCTGCTACTGCTGACTCTGCCTCTGATCTGCATGCTTGGCTGACATAATCAGAAGTGTTTAACAAAAGCCAATCACAATGCTTTCCCATAGGTTGGGCTGAGACTGTCAAGAAGGCAGATCAAGGGCAGAGCGAGCACAAGCCAAACTCAGCCCTGGCCAATCAACATCTCTAATAGGAAAGTTCAATGTCTCCATGCAGAGGGTGGAGACAATGAAAGGCAGTGCTAGGAAGCACCTATAGTAGCCATCTGAGGAGTAGCCAGTTGATTTATCCCTAGGCTGTAATATAAACACTACATTTTCTCTGAAAAGATAGTGTTTACTGCAAAAACACTTAAAGGGAATGATTATACTCACCAGAACCAGAATACAATAAGCTGTAGTTGTTCTGGTGACTATAGTGTCCCATTAAGATATCATGGTAGTCACCCTTTGTTAATGATTAGAGCTGTAGGGGTGGCACAGTAAGTTTATTTTTGAGACCTGTTAAGAGTGGGGAAGGGAAGCAGTTTATTTAATAACCTGGTGACCAGAAGTTTGGTGAGCCCTTGTCATATGAATTTCAGTTTGTGTGTGTGGTTTATACCTTGTTAGTTGAGTGAGGGAACATTAAATCCCCAAGCAAATTCATTTCAGTATTTACTCTTTATAAAATCCATATGCAGGGCAGAATGACAGTAGTTATACCCTAAAGACACTCTTACGAGCAAGTAGTGACCATTGTCATGTTAATCTGCTGCTGTTGTCATTAATAACTTTCTAATCAGCAGATCCCTGTTGCCTACTCTTCTGACAGCTAGTGGGTTTACAGGGTTAAGCCTATTTTGTAAAAATTAGAGAGGCTAGAACATAATCAGGAGAGTACAAAGCAGTTTTAGTAGTGCAGAAACATCAAACAAACAGATGTAGCTTGGATGTTTGCTTTCATGTTATTACAGCAAGAAAATGAACACCATTCTATGGTGTATTTCCAATCCCCTAACAATATCCTCCAGATTCCAGGGATGTGTATCATGTAGAAGAAGAGATTGGGGGACCGGGAAATAAATGGCATTAAACAGTGGAAATTAAATAAAACTACGGGGCATTGGATTTTCTGATATTAGCATTCGTATGAGCAAGGAAAAGGGGCCTGTACAAACAACTAGCAATCTAGAAGAGATTATAGTTAATCATCCTCAGAAATGTCTAAACTTGGTAATTCAGAAGAAGCTGAAGTTACCACATCATCAAATACATTAAGTTGCTCTCGAGGTCATGCAAGATTCTAGGCTGAAATAACTTTGATACTAGAGAAAGTTGCAGCTCTCACAGATGGCAAAATGGACACCAGAGAAGATATCAGAAGCTTCAATACTCACCACCAACCAACCACCAACCAAAACACCTGATGCCTGCAGAGAACCTGTTACAAACTCACCATCGAAGTAGCCTCATCGAAGTAGTCTCATTAGAGGATAGATATAAAGAGCCAAGTTTATGGATCTGCGGTATGTCTGAGACATTTAAGGCTAAGGTGTTGCCTTCTACACCACCATATAGCCATGCCACCTGCCTTCTAGACAAGCACGTTTCTTATACCAGGAGCTAGTCACTATGTTCAGAAATTGCCTAGGGGCACTAGTGGAGATATCAAGAGATATTACACTAAGATTAAGGGGTCAAGAACTCCCGTACAAGTTGGCAACACAATGTTCACTCTCTAATTCAGTTCTAAAGCAATTAAGATAGACACGTTGTGTTTTTTCAGTAAGGCCCATAAATTTCTTTAGTGACTGGCATTATACAGGTAGCTATGCCATCTTTATCCAAGATGTATCCAGGTACTAGTGGAACCAGTATACTCACTAGATCCATCTAGATCAATGTAGTTGTATGCATGACCCTACTACCTAAAATGCCTGAGTATGTCACTGGCTTGGCTGTCTGGTGTGGTCGTCCTACCTATGATCAGGGTTTCATGCTTCCATGCTTTAGAGACTTTTGATGCTATCAATTTGAACAGCATCAGCTTTGTCTATGCTATTCATTTTGACTATATCACAGGCACAACAAGTTATGCGGAGGTAGAGCAATATCTTCTCAAAACTTGTAACCATCTTCTGTATGGTGCCCTCCCCCGTATCTCTGTCATGGTTTTTTTTAATTAAGGAATCAAACTTGATGATTGAGGTATTGCATTTTTTCCATGTGAGATATGTGGCTTTGTTAAATTAAAAGCAAGTATTTCTCCTATTTCTGCTCTTGCCCAAGTTAGGGTGTCCACTTGAAAGAATTATTGCATGTTCTAACAGACCATTTTGCCTACTGTGTATCATTTTACTTTTATCTAGGAAACAATAAGTGTTTGAAAACTTTGTGTTAATATTTTTTTTGGAGGCAGGATTAATCCACACAGTCAGTTAATCAAATAGTATTATCAAGTAGTATCCGCATTTGGCGTTTTTCATCTGTACAACACATGGAGTATTTTACAATTCAAGCTCCCAGTCCATGATCATTGCTGTGTGGTTCCAGGAAAGATTTGTATCACTAGAGTGCTCATGCTTGATAAAAGTTTGCTCTGTATGCACATTAAAGTGCTCTTGCATTTTCCTTATTTGCCCAAAGAAAATGGGCTACTAATTATAGAACCTGGGATGGGGAAAGGATCCCGGATAGGGACATATTCGTTTGTTCGGGTATATTTGGGATATATGCTGAGTGAAGACAATTTGTGACGTAGAGTGAAAAAAAGTTGTGAATTCTTGTAAAATATATATAAAAAAAATAAAATATATATATAACATTCAAACAATTGCCATTAAAAGAAGTTCAATTCTGTCTACAAACTTTCTCTTTTTCATGAGTATCTAATTTCCTCTCACTATAAATCCCATTATGTAACATTTTTATAACTGATACATACATATTTTACATCTTCTTCCTTTTACTGTTATCGATCATACTGCAATACTAACTGTTTTGCTTTCTAGAGGACTTGAAGATCATTTAATTATTACGCCTTTTTGGTTTTAACTCTTACGATTTATTAAACATTAAAGTATATAAAAACTTAAGTAAAGAGAATTTTGTTACAGAGGTGCAGCAGTCCTTCATCTCCAACTGGTACACTGTCTCCAACGGGTTTAAGTGGACCACAACTTGTGTTTGATGATCACCAAGGCCAGTGGTTGAGAAGAAGAAGGCTGGATGGAGCTATCAACCGTGTTCCAATGGGATTCTACCAGAAAGTGTGGAGTGTCCTTCAGAAGGTATAAAATAAATAAATAAAATATATACATTTATTTTATATAAATATATGTGTGTGTTGTGTGCATATGGTGCACATACCATTTTTAAAGTAGAGCTTTTCTTTTTTTTGGACCTTTTTTCTGTGACCCTAAAACAGAGATTCATATTCCCAAAATCTTGTATACCTAATCAGTAAATGAAATACCACATTTTCCATTCTTTGTACACAAATAATTATGTGTCCCTGCCTACAAGCCCCTTATAACACAAACATCTCAAAATTATATATTATTGTTTAAAATCTAAATTAGTATTTTTGAAATTTGTTGCACATGGAAATAGACTTCATGTGTATATTAAAATATATTCCCCTTGAAATAGTATATTTAAAAACAAACAAAATAAAACAACTTTTTTCTCTCTCTGTATTTTATATACTTATGTTTCCCATTTTAGTGCCATGGTCTATCTATTGATGGGTATGTTCTTCCTTCATCAACAACAAGAGAGGTATTTCAGTATTTTTTGAAGCAATTTGTTAAAGGTTACTCATTATAATTAATTTAAAAATGTGCAGGTTGTTTTGCTTCTTGATGTTTTTACACGTTTTAAGTGTAAGTGTGCCTTTGTTATGAAATGTGTTTGAAAAATGTACAAATCTGATTTGAGTATTCTCTAAAGTCATTTTGGAGGCTTATCCTCAACTGTGCTACTTTGATTCAGGGCAGTTTGGTTTCTGATTTAAAAATAATAAAATAACTTTAAAATTCAGAAATTAAAATGCTTATCAAATACTGATTTGCTCCTGAATTTCAACATTTGGCCAATACGATTAACAGACGGAATGACACTTGCTCCATCTCACCTTGCTCATGTTCATTGTGTCAATGTTGAGAGATTTGTGTAACTAACAAAAGTTTCTTATGATCCACTATTTTATGTTTGCTTCTTCTATTTTCTGATGGGGCCCCACAGATTACTTGGTAGAAGAGGTGTTCCATAAATTGATATTTATATTAATGCACCACCTTTTACAGCATTAACTGGTTCAAATATATGAGCAATGCAAAGCATTGAATGTAGTTAAACATCAGTAATGCATGCTGATAGGAAAGTGTGTAAACAATCTCCTTGTGAGCATCTTATTCTGATGTATGTGTTAGTCTATAATTAGGTTTGGAATGTCAGATTTTAGAGAAAAACAAGTGTCTCATTACAAGCTCTGTGCTGACCTCGAGTTATGCTCATGTGAGCAGGGTCCTTAACACCCTCTGTTAAATACCCGTCAGTTAGTCCACCTATTGTACAGCTAGTAATCAATCAGCTAGTAATTTAGGCAGATAAAAACTTCCAGCCCATGTTTTGTAAAGATTAACAACATAGAAAGCAGATGAACCATTATTATTAGGCAGAAAACCAGTGATGGCCAGGTCATTAAAGGTTAATGGTTATTTTTGAAGTGCAATAGTGGGCCAAGGTTCTCATAGTGAGACATTCAGTAGGAACATTCCATTTACAGAACTTATTAACCACGGTTTCTACATTACACCCAATATTCCCTTTAGCCTCCGTAGTATACTTGTATTCCATTCTAATAAGACATAATACAAAACTCATTCCAATCTGTAGAGCGTTGCACCTCTTCAATGGACACATATTAAATCAAATTTTCTTAATACCTTTATTATTTTAAGCTTCTCACAAAAATGGGAATACCTTAGAGTCTTATCATTTATACTGTTTTTCTGTTTATTGTGACAGATGACTGCCTGTGAGATCAAGTTTGCAGTACATGTGGAGTCTGTTCTTAACCACGTACCTCAGCCTGAGTATAGGCAGCTGCTAGTGGAAGCAATTCACGTCCTTACCCTTCTGTCAGACATGGATGTGGAGAGCATTGGTGGTATCATCCACGTAGACCAGATTGTCCACATAGCCAGTGATTTGTTTCTTCATGACCAGGTATGAAAATTAAGGAGCAGACTAAATCCTGAGGGCTTTTCAACAATATAATAAATTCAAATTGTTCTGTGATGGCATTAATAGTATTATCCTTACCTCTTGCAATCTCTGTATTCTTGTATAGGTGTGATTCAGATGACTACATTTATGTAGTATAGACATTGTGTATTCAAATCTACAGTCAGTTTACAATATATTTATTTTAAACTAGATAAAAAAGTATAAGTTTGGACTTATACAAAAGTATAAGTTTGGACTTATACAAAAGTATAAGTTTGGACTTATACAAAAGTATAAGTTTGGACTTAAAATAGGACAGAATGGACCAATTTGTCCTGCATAGAGTATGCCTAAGCACACCTGGTATATTCCTTGAGCACACCTATGGAGATCATTGTATTCTCTCATTGAGCTGGAATATATAGTGATGCCATTTAGAAGATCCGACAAGAAGTTTGATATCATATTCTTTATAGCCACACTATATGAACCTCTGCTTGAAAAAAATATATCATTCCAAAATCAGGGGTATTAATATGAAGTTAATGCCAGTTTTCAAATATTTCTTCATAAATCGACCAGAGCACTTAAATAATGTTTCTGAATAGCATCTAGGAACTATTATTTATCTTTCAACCCATGCCGCACTGCTCTCTTTGCTGTCATACCGCCATTTTGACTGAGATCATCTACACCAATAAAATGCTGCTTACACGCAGCATGTGATCTATAAATGAATTTACTTGGTCATAGGAGAATATGCTCTTCTAGAAGTGTGTTAAAACTGCAATTCAAACAGAACGGACAGTAAACAGCATGTTTCTACATTGCAGGTTTGAACAGACAGCGGCACTGCACCCGGACCACTTAATTGAGCTGAATTGGTTGGGGTGCCTCTAGTGTCCCTTTAATGTAATCATATATTAGACCATGATACAGTTATAACATTTTAAGTCTGTTCATAAACAAACACTAGAAACCATACCCAATTCCTTGACAAAGGACAAAAAAAACATATAACTAAAAATAACAGTCACAAAATAGATCATGTATATGTTATTATGTAGGATATATATTCTTATGTTATTATGCCTTTATTGCCTTTTCTCAGAAGATAGATAAGGCAAATTATCTGAACAAGAACATATCAAATGTTGCTGTTGGGACAAATTGCTACAATGTACAAAGGCAATTGTAAACTATCTCTTCATGCTTAGGAAAAATAATAGGAACTGAATTATAAAATATTTTTGTACATTACATCCAATGTACAAAAATTATATATTGTATTAGGCTCTTAGTATTTACCAATTAACTAAATATTGTAATTTTTCAGAGATTAATCTACTTTATGCTATATACACTGTCTAAGTCAATTTTGAAATCCAGGTTTCAACAGGGCCTAAGATACCTGTGAAAGGGAGCTGCTATAGTATGACACTGGTCACAATTCCTCTACATACATCATAATGATGCACCCGGGACCAATTAACGTGTATATATATATAACACTTTATCATGCCTTTGCAGAAGTCTTTGGGAGCTGGAGAATACTTCCTGGAACAGGACCAGGCTACAGGAATCTGCAACCTTTTCTATGACAGTGCCCCTAGTGGCGCGTATGGCACAATGACGTACCTGACCAAAGCTGTCGCCACTTACTTACATGACTCTTTACCCAGTTCAAGTTGCTTCATGCAGTAACATTTTAGTCACTTGAATCCACTTTTCCATTTGTTGCATTTCAGCAATAAAACATTTTCTCTAGGTAGATAATGAATGAAAAATACTTCGTTTTACTTAATTTTTGTTATTTATTGTATTTATTTCATTGACTAATTGCAAGATTAAATTAGATTTAGCAGGTTACACAGCCTGCACGCATTTGCAGGAAGACCAATGATATTGTTGGGAGCATTCAATAATTTTAAAGCCATGTTACAGTTTTCTATCTATCAGGTGTTTTAGTTTAGTTTTTTTTTCCGTTTATTTGACTGTGCAGTTTATTTGTAGCTTTGCTAGTGTTATTAATTTATCATTAAACACATAAATTGAAAATGTAACTGTTCTCACCCTTTGATTGCCAGAAGGGAGAGCAATGGTTTAAATACCTCTCTGACATTTAAAGAGTTAAATGTTATGCTCGGATTCTGTTAACTTGTTTAAGTTTGATGTACCTAATACAAATAGAGCTCACAAGTATTTAAAGTTACTGGCTGAGCTTGTAACCATCCCATAGCCAAATTTTGTGTGAACATACTATAATATATGTATGTGCATAAAAGCTATAGATCAAATGTAATTATTGTAAACCACCTGAAGGTGACCTTTTTACCCATACTTTTGGATTCTGTGAGATTAAAGAAATTGTAAACACCATTTTTAAAATGAAAGTGGAAAAAATATAATGTTTCAGTAAAAATCTCTGTCCCTATAGATAGAAGTACACCAGAGACCAGAGAGTGGGATGAAATAGTGAATGTTTATTATAGCGTAAGGGAGGAGAAGCTAAAATGTTATTTTAGCATTTATCTACCATATTTTGGGAGTGACTTTTCCTTTAATCCCTTAAGGACACATGACGGAATATTTCCGTCATGATTCCTTTTTATTTCAGAAGTTGTGTCCTTAAGGGGTTAAAGGAACATTTTAAAAAACATGTAGTGTATCACCTGATAGTATCTTATCATCATCTTTATGTGTGCATTCATACTATACTGGGTACATCATTCTCTTAGTATCTGAATACTGAAATTGATCAAACTGCACCTGATTGTTACAGACTAACATGTAGATCCAGAGGAAAAGAAACTATGTTTTTTGTTGTTGTTTTTTTTAAAATGAAATTCTTCAGATTTTCAGGCAGGCGTTTGTGTTTCTACTTGTATGTTAAACAATTTTAGAAAAGTGATGCATAGGCTATACCTCTAATTATAAAAAAATGTATGGGCTTTAATTTTACTTCAAAAGCTAAAAAAAAATCTAACTCTACAAATGGTAGAGTTTAGAAAAGCTCAAATTTATTTTAACATTTAACATTCTGGGTGAAATCACTCTGGTTAATGAAAATGCTCTCATAGTTTTTTCTTTGATGTCATTGTTAACATCACAAAAAAGACAGTATCTTCAGAAAATCAGTTCAAATTAGCATGTTATTCTTGAAACCAGTGTATCCATTTTTCCTTGTTTTCCAATTGCTATATGTTCATAAAATATAGACAATGTTAATTGCCCATCTGTGTTATGTTAATACTGTGGCAGGTTTGTGTAAATTATGGGCCAGCCCATGAGATTTTCGTTCTAGTCTGACCACTAGTAGGAAAATTAATGTCCTCCTTCTAAAGTCCAAAGATACAAGATTTAGATTGGGTTTCTGATTTGAATCCAGAACAATTACAGTTTATCAAACCATAGATTGGAACAGTCTCCAATTGTGGGTGCATAAGTAGTTTCTATAAATGTAAAGTCTGGTCCTGACTTTAAAGGAACACTATAGTCACCAGAACTATAGCTTAATGTAGTTGTTCCGGTGAGTATAATCATTACCTTCAGGCATTTTCATGCAAACAATGCCTTTTCAGAGATGGCCACTGGAGGTGCTTCCTTGGGCAGTGCTGCACAGTAGGCACGCTCTGCATGGAGACGCTGAATTTTCCTCATAGTGATGCATTGATTCAATGTATCTCTATGAGGAGGTGCTGATTGGTCAAAACTGAGTTTGGCCCCATCCCCATCCTGTCTCCTTGATGATTTCAGCCAATCCAATGCTTTGCCCATAGAAAGCATTGAATTGGCTTAACATTGTAAATTCTGATGATGTCACCAGGGAGGCGGATTGGGGACGGGGCCAGCGCCGATGGACCCACGCGGTGTACAAATAAGGTATGTTTTAACCTCTTCTAATAGGGTTACGTGGGGGGCAAGCCACCTAAATGGTGGTTTTAATACTAAAACATGTTTGTGTTTCTAACCCTATAATGTTCCTTTAAGGACCTGAGAACTGCATGTTGTATATCTTTGCAACACGTGTGCCCTGCTACTGATTCTCAGTGGCCAAAAGTGTAATTATGTGTTTACTGCTGGTTTTTGTGCAGTATTTATACGTCAATAAGTTTTCTTCTGAACCCTACAGCTATGAATGTGCTCATGTAGCTGCCCTTAACAGCAGGTTGTCAAAAAATCTCAAACTGTGCTGTAAAGATTGAATTGCCTCAAAATACTTCATTTAATATGACATTATACAAATATGTGTGTATTAATATAATTGATCGAAAGAAGAACATTTTAGCACATTGTATGTTTATCAGCAATTTGAATGTACATGTAACGGATTTCATCTGCAACAAATTCTTTTAGCGCCAGAACAAAATTTTCTTTTTTACATCTCTCAGGCATTTCAAAGGGTTAATGCACAATATTCAACAGTGCCTAAATATACCTAATCAGGTTACAATTGTGGTTATTCACTCAACCGGGAATTATAATGGACTGGAGAATTCTAATTATTTTGTCCAAGTAATTAAAACTGGAAAAATTATTTCCAGCCTTGCTATTTTGGTATATTTCCCTGACCAATTCTTAATAATTCCTGGTTAGTTGAAAAAACCCTATGTGTGTTGCTGTATGATGATGTTGTCATGTATACAGTTGAAATGTATTCAGTGTGTTGTTTAATGATTGTTGACCGACCAGTAAATACAGGAATAAGGTATAAAATGTTTCCTTAAGCTTACCCTTTTTTCATTGTTATTTTGTTCACAATTAGTTTGCTATAGTTTACTTTGCTCTTTGTGCAATGAATAAAACATATATTTATGTTAATGTAAATTTAAAAAATAGTTAATGTTTTGTTTAAAAATTATATATGTATATGGATTGTTAATGTTCCTCTTCGGTTGACAACATGCATGTTTAAATTGTTCTTTCTCCAAGATCCATTGCGAATAAATGGGCTATATTCCTAATATATGACTTATTGATTTTGTTTCACTTTTAATTTGTGTGAATGTGTATTTATTTTATCTCTTTATGTGTAGATTTGGGAGTCAATGCAAAATGCATATGGAAAAACAGCAGGGTTACTGTTATCTTAATATTTATTGACCACTTTGAATACAAAATTATACAGTAAACAATTATAAATCACATTTATTTGTATTTTTTTTAATTTTGGTTGAGCATGGAAATATAACAGAATAACTTGCAATGTCCCAACAACATAGGCAAGTTCAAGATAAAACAAATCATAACAGTTGGACAGTTTGGAGTTACTGCACGGTTTAAGATATATAATATTCAGTCTAATATTGCATGTCTAATCGTTTTACTCAAAATAAGCTAGTAAATGGAGATTTCTAGGCATGCAGTGGTAAAATTGTGTTACACCTAGGAGACCCCCAAGTCAGTTAGCAAGTCTCCAGCTTATCAAGTTTAACAATTCTAATTACATCTATTAGGTTATACAGATTAGTAGGGGCTAGTATAGAATACAAGAAAAGAGCAGTGTTATGCTGGTTGTTTTGAAGAATAGGAACACATGGTTGAGCCTTGTGAAAGTAGACAGAAGGGGATTAGGGTTAACAATAGGCATAAATAAGGCATGACTGACTACATCTAAAGAGTACAGTTAAATTCTAAACATGCTAGACCAAAAACACACCAGCCATGCGCCTGAGGGATAACCACTGGGGCTAATAAAGGAAAACACATTAGACATACAATTAAATGTAAAAGCTAGTATACCACTGGGTTAAAAAGCAACTGAAAAAAGCAAGGTAAAAGGGAGACAAAGTAAAACTTCATATATGGAGTCACCCTATGCCACATATGGGCCAGATGCAAGAGTCCAGTTTCACACCAGGTTTATCTTCCTTGCTCTCCTTCACATGTTGCAGCAAGTGTCGTTGGGTTTCCCCTTGACCCGTAGAAAGGAGGTTGCAATGCCACTTGTCCCCATACCTTCGGCCCCAGACCTTGAAGAGGGCCGATGCTCTAATTCAATGAATCTTCCACTTTGAAGTGGCAGGATCCGGAGTCCGCTCTGTCACCGATACGCGGATGACCACTTGAATGTATGGATGGCGGCTGGGAGGTAACTAAAGAGGTTCATCCAGCGCGTGCGGTGTGGCAGCCATTTTGGGTATGCCATGTGGTGCAGAGGTTTCACACTTTCAGGCTTCTGTACTGGAGTGTTTGTTGCCCAGTGAGGACCAGGATATCCTCAATCGACCCAGACAGGAGGGGAGGTACAGGTCTTTGCTTTCTCACAAGGATGCCCGGGCAGACAGACAGGCAGTATAGCTACAGATAACCAGAACATCTGTGAGTAATTGAAAACTCTGGTCTCTGTGAGGACTAGCTCATATGGGTACATGATAAGACTGGACAATGTAATGGAATCCTTAAAGGAACACTCTCAAGTGGCCTGGGTACAGTGTCCTTGTTTGTCTTATCCTTGTCTTATCCCTGCAATGTAAAACAGCCCCATAGGAAAATATTGATTCAATTTAGTTCTATTGGACAACAGTTTAAAAGGTCATGCCTCCCATGTGAAATCACATGTGGTGTACAGATAATTAAAACCTTTAATTTTATTATTTTCTAGCAAATGGGGAAGGGGGAGGGGGCTGAACAAGGCTACAGTTAGGGACACTATCGTATTAGGAATACAGGTTTGTATTTCAAATCCTTTAGTGTTCCTGTAATCTGCAGAAGAGGATATTGTCTGCCGGCCTGACACGAGTGCATGCATTTGAGACTCTACAGTGATATTTTACACTATTCTTTAGTTATCATAACATTAAAAGAACGGTCGCATTACTACTATAAGAATGTAGGTTTCATTGGGCCAGATTTATTTTACATTTCCTCTTCTTTCTCTTATATATATTTATTTATTTATAAAATATTTTACCAGGAAAGATACATTGAGATTTCTTTCATTTTCAAGTATGTCCTGGGTCCACAAAACATTGCATTGGTACATTATGGTACAATAAAATACAAAAACAATATTAATACACAATAAATACAAAATTTAACATAGAACAGGCAGGAAATATATAACCAACCATGACAGGTGCATTCTGTTTTGAGGTATGTAGAGAGAGATCTCTTAAAGGATTTTAGGCTTAGGGAAGATTTGAAAGTGTGAGGGAGGTCTTTCCATAATTGTGGTGCTCTGTAGGAAAAGGAAGATCGGGCTGCTTTCTTTTTGTATTGAGGTAGACTAAATAAAGTGCTTGTACTGGATCAGAGGTTTTAGGAAGTGGGAACAGCTGGGGAGAGCATTCTGCTCAGCTACAGTAGGAGCTTCCCAGAAAAGCTCTTAAACACAAGGCTGGAAAGATGAAGGGTGCGTCTGGATTCCAGCGACAGCCAGTTTAGTTCTTTTAGCATATCACAATGGTGAGTCCTGTAATTACATTGTAGCACAAATTGGCAGAACGAGTTATACAATGTGTTGAGTTTATTAATGTGGGATTGCGGTGCAGATGCATATACTACCTTCCCATAATCAATGATTGGCATCAGCATTTGCTGACAATTTTTTCCTTTACTGTAGGGCTTAGGCAGGATTTGTTTCTGTACAGGGCACCTAGTTTTGGATAAAGTTTAGATGCAAGTTTTTCTATGTGGAGGCCAAATGATAGACTGGGGTTTAACATCATACTCAAGTATTTGAAAGAGTGGACTGCGGTGTGCCATTTGAATTTGTTTTGATGGATAGGTGGGAATTGTGCAATTTAGATATTGTTCCAAAGATCATTGTGACAGTTTTGTCAGTGTTCAGGAAAAGTTTATTTTTTGTGATCCAATTTTCTACCTCTGTGAACTGGTCTTGGAGCACAGCCTCAAGCTGCGGTAGATCGATTTGTTTGCATAGATTTCTGTGTCATCTGCGTACATGTATATATTTGAGGATTTGCAGATATTAGGCAGATCATTTATAAATAATGTGAATAGTAGGGGGCCGAGAATGGAACCTTGGGGAACACCACACGTGACTGGGAGAGGGAGGGAGTCGCTGTCAGAAATGGACATATATTGTGCGCAATCTGATACATATGATTGAAACCAAGTTAGCGGACGATTACCAATACCTGAGTTTTTGAGTTTGTGCAATAGAATGTCATGGTCTACTGTGTCAAAGGCCTTTGCAAAACCCAGGAAAATTGCTCCAGTTAGGTCTCCTTGTTCCATGCCAGTTTGGATGTCATTGCAAACTTTTAAGAGGGCAGTTGTAGTGGATTGATTAAGGTGAAAACCATATTAATCAGGGGTCAGGTAGTTAGATTGATGGTAATACTCACATAGTTGTGTATGGACACATTTTTCTAAGATTTTTGACAATACTGGGAGCAATGATATATAGAAAAGTTTAAAGGTTTAGGCAGGCATGCTGCGTTAAACATTTAAGTTTACTTAATTGACTAGAATGTTTTTTTTTTTTATTCTTTATTTTTGTCTAACATTAAAACGGCAACACAGTACATCAAGGTCAGATATTACATACAGTACTTGTATTTCACATTTGTTAAACTGAAACCGAAAAAACATAAACACAAAGCACATTACAGATGAAAGAACAACACTGCTAGGCCTTGTTGGAACAACTTGCCATGCCAAAAACAAGAACCAATATGACCCTAATACAAAATAACAATTTTATCTGTAGTGCCTTTATGATTGAGAGTTGCCTGGCTTAGGTAGGCCAAGCAAACAACAAGGTCCCACTTTGAGAACCAACACTAACTTCCCCATATCCAGTAGCCATGACCCCAGTCCTCCCCTACACCCACAGCTACTCACACGGGGCCCACACCTTTTTAAATGACTTCATAGCATTAACTTTCATCAAACCAATGTTATTCTATAATGTGCAGCCAATGTTATTCTATTGACTAGTCACTGAGAATGAGCTGGCAGCTCCTCCGCCGGTTTGGCCAGTAGATATGTCTGCCAAAGACCCTGATCAGCCAGTCTCTGATACTTTCACATAACTTCCTCAACCTCATTTATTCCCATCACATGTGGATATAAGTTCTCTTTTCCCCACAAGATTTCCAAAACAAGTAAGTGGTAATTTTACCAATTCTGCACAGTGTGACCAGTGTGGTGTACCATCTCATTATTGTCTTGACTGCCTATTCCTCAAATCCCACAGACACACACCAAGACCTTGCTTGCGGCCTCCGAGATATCCTGCCATACCTCCCCATCCTCCCAGATACCGCTCCCATTGTTTAAGATTTAATTTTCTGAACAGGTGGCATTATAAATTAGCCCCTTTTGCCCCCATTCATCCTAACATTAAGTTGGGCCTTTGCACAGCTGCCTGACAGGCTCTCCAGTGTAAAGCAAAGTCTTCTAGTTACAGGTACCTGAAGAAATCTTGTGAGAGGAGTTGGTGAATTTGTGTCAGTTCTTTGAATTACACTATTTCTGAGCTCCTAGACAAGTGCTTAAACAGCTGAACTCCATCTCTCTCTAAACCTACGAACTCATAGCCACCATGATGGGAGAAAATCCCTGTTACTTAACTTGAAGGTAATGTATATATTGTTGTGTCTTATGTGGACCGGTAATAGTTCATCATTTATTTAAAATAATTTAACATTTGTAGAATTTGATATTACATGAAAAATGAAATCAGAACCCTTGAAATATTTAAAATAGGCATAGGAAACTGAATTAACTTTCAAGAGGCACCCAATAGTAACTAAATTAATGACTGTGGTACATGGAATATATCACCAGAATGACAACAATTTGTGATATTCACACTTACTAATATATAACTTCAGACACAATGCTTGCATTTGGAATGATATTATATGATTAGATTCTGACCCCAAAAATGTCTATCTGTTAATTTTTGACAGAAAGTGCATTTATATTGGAATACTTACTATGTACTACTCTTAGATTTGATAACTAATTCAGGGGTCTG